CTCAATCCTCATTCCCCTCCACCTAGCTGCCTCCAATGACATTGGCAATCATTCTCTCCTCCTTGATACTTTTCTCTTTCTAGGTTTTCTGGACATCCCTCTCTCCCGGTTCTCCTCAGCTACCTGACCATTCCTTCTCTGTCTCCTTTGCTGGATGTTCCTGTGGACCATGACCTCTCACTGTAGGCGTCCCCCAGGGTTCTGTCCTAGACCCTCTTCTCTTCTCCTTCCACGTTACTCTGGTTTGTGAGCTCATCAGTTCCCATGGATTTAATTATTTCTGCTATTGATTCTTAAATTTACTGATCTTGTCCTAACTTCTCTGTTGACCTCCAGTCTTGCCTCTCCAACTGCCTTTCAGACTTCTCACACTGAATGTCCAGTGGACACCTTGAACTCCTTATGTCCAAAACACCATCCTCCCAGTCTCTCAGGCTCACAACCTAGGAATTGTCCTTATGTCACTATCTATCGCACTCTACCTCTCAGCTCTGGGCATTTTCTCTGACTATCCCCCATGCCTGGAATGCTCTTCCCCCAGCTTTTCCCAACTCCTCTCTCATATTTACTTCTTTATCCTGTATACATCTTGTTTGGACACATTTGTCTGCATGTTGCCTCCCTCACTAGATCGTAAACTCCTCAAGGGCAGGAACTATCTTTAGCCTCTTTTTATATCCCTAGAGCTTAGCACAGTGCCTGGAACATGGTAGGCACTTAATAAATGTTTATTGGCTGAAATTTCCAACTACCTGCTGCACATCTCCCGTTGGATGCCAGCAGTGAGCACTGTGCTAAGCACTAGGGATACAAAGAAAGGGAAGACAAACCAAAAACCTCTGCCCTCAAGAACCTCACAGTCTGATGTGGGAGAGAACATGCAAACAACTACAAAGAAATAAGATATTTAGCATGAGCTAGGGCCAGCCTCAGAGGGAAAGCACGAAGATTGGATGTCTTTTCAAGATGGAAAATTAAACATTCCCCAAACTGCAGGCACGATCTCCTCTCTCCAAAAAACACACCAAGCTTCTTTAACTCTGCAGAAGGCATACTTCCATCTCCAACACATGTATGTATTTATACACACACACACACACACACACGTGTGTGTGTGTGTGTGTGTGTGTGTGTATATATATATATATATATATATATATATATATTGCTATTGACTTGAACAAGTCTCTCTGCGATCATTTTCAATCTAAAACAGTATTTGAACTGCACATCCCTCTTGATTTCCATGTTAATGTTGGGGTTTTTTTGTTTTTTACTTTCAAAGTAGACCAGTGACATCCTGGGTGACTTCTTGAGTTGCCAAGAATTGGATTTAAGGGAGGCAGAGCTGCACAAATTCGTCAGCCTCTCTTTCTGAGTCACCAGAGTCCAGCGGCAGGACAAAAGTCAAGATGACTGGTGATGGCCCAGGATGCAGTGGATGACCTTGGCGTCTTTCATGTCTGACCAAGCTCAAAGTTCTCCACAGCACCTGCTTCAGCTGCCTTCATGGCCATTGGAAGAAATCGTTCTCATTTGCCTGTTCTGCAAGGGAACATCTTCTCATGTGCTTGGGGCAGACATCCTCCTAACTCACGGACAGGTTTGAGGCCAGGTGGTTACCCTCAACCTGGTTTAGCCTGTCTGAGATGGTTGAGTGGGGAGGGGCCACTGCACACGCTACAGCTTCTTGGAACCATGAGCAAGAGTTGAGTGAATCAGGACACCAAAGAGGGATGCGCAGCCCTGAAAAAGGCTCAGCAAGCCCTCACATCAAAGGTGCTAATCCTCCTGAACACCCCATATACCACATACTTCTGTGTTAATAGAGGTCTGGAAATACCGGGGGGGGGGGGGATGAGGAGGCGGCGATGGGGGAGGGCGAATGTAAATGCATTTAGTTTTCTCTCCCTTTGGAAAATATCCTAACTCAGGCTAAGCTCTTAATCATTTTCCCCTGCCATGTTAAAAATAATCTACTTTTGACATGCATTTTGCAGAGAGTTCAAAACCCAGCCTGTCACCCTCTGTCATTAATGGAATGGGACTTTTGTACATGGAAATATTCTGGAATACAAACACAAACTGTTAATACCTTCAAAAATGATGAATCTATAACTAATCAGAGGAGTGCAAAATAAAACTCAAAAGAAAATTTTGAGAAACTAGTACACACCCAAGAAATTGGGGGAAAAAAGAATTCTAAGGAAGATATTCGATGCTGGTGAGGTTGTGGAGAAGCAGGCATGCTTATTCATTGGTAGTGGAAGAGCAAATTTAGAGAATTTTTTCAGATTGAAATTTTAAAGTATACAATAAAATTTATAAAAATAATGTTTTGCCTGAGGAATATATCATAAGAATTTTACCAAAAATAATTGAGTTATTAATTCAAAGAGTAGCCTTATTCTGCTTGCAAAATCAACTGAGAATAACCTAAATGCCCAATAACAGGGGAATGTTTAAATAACTGCAAGAGTTAATGTCATGGAATAAAATTCAAATCAATGAGCATGAGAAACATAAATATGGAAAGACCTTCATGAAAATGCAAAGAAAGATACTAGACAAATTAGCGAGGACCATTCAAGAGGAAAAGCGAAAGGAAATGGATTCATGGTCTTTGGCCTTTCTTTGTATCCCCAGTGCCTAACACATAGTAGGTGCCTTGTACCTATTATACCTTACTTACTTCACTGTGCCTTAGCATAGTGCCTAACACATAGTAGGTGCCTTGTCCACAATGCCTAATGCATAGTAGGTGCCTTGTACCTATTATACCTTACTTCACTGTGCCTTAGCATAGTGCCTAACACATAGTAGGTGCCTTGTCCACAATGCCTAACGCATAGTAGGTGCCTTGTACCTATACCTTACAAAAGTACTTCACTGTGCCTTAACACAGTGCCTAATACACAGTAGGTACTTGGTTGTGGTTCAGTCATTTTTCGGTCAAGTCTAACTCTTTGTGATCCCCATTTAGGATTTTCTTGGCAGATACTGAAGTAGCTTGCCATTTCCTTCTCTGACACACTTTACAGATGAGGAAACTGAGGCAGAGGTTAAATGACTTGCCCAGGGTCACACAGCTAGTGTCCGAGGCCAGAATTGAACTCAGGTCTTCCTGACTCCACCCTAGCTGCCCCAAGTAAATACTTAGTAAATGCTTACTGACTGAGACTGTGAGGGAATGACCGAAAAGTTACATTTTGTGCACTGAAATTAAGGAGACATATTTACAAAATGATTTGAATGAGCAGCATCAATGTCCAAAGGCTCACAGATTCAGAGCTGGGAAGGATCTTTACCATCCAACCCACTCATTTCTCAGATTAGAAAACTGAGGCCTACGGAAGAGACTTGTCTAAGGTCATATAGCTGTTACAAGGCAGAGCTAGGATGCGAGCCCTAAGTCTACGTTCTTTAAACTTAAATGTGCTATTTCCATTTTCAATATTAAGCAAGTTTAATACTTTTAAAAGTTAAACAATTAAAGGAAAGCTACCAGGACATCCCTGCATGATGGACCCAGCTTTGCCAGTCCTCCAGATTTTTCAGACAATGACTAGGAACTGTCCAGGGCCCTTTCCCTCACTTCCTTCTGGTGGATAACTACAAGAATTATTATTTTTTCATGAGAACAAAGAAGAACTGAAAAAAATGCCCGTCTTCACGAGAACGTTAAGGTCATGCAGCCATCATTAAATCCCAAAGGACAACACAAAACCTTGGGGATTTGGGGGTGCTATGTAATAAAATAACACAGTGGCAGGGGGAGAAGAACTCTGTCAGTGGAAGGCAACTCTTCATTTTTGTAATCCTTTATTTTTTTTAGCTGTTCCTCCCATAGTAATGTACTGAAATGCATAACAGTTACATTGTACAAAGCATCTGAAGAAAGTACCTCGACTTGCCGATTATTTCAAAATGAGATTACAAACAGAAAGAAAACAAATCTGGGCCCTCGCTGAAGGGCAAAATAACTGAATACAGTCCGTTCTTTCCTTCTTTCTTTTAACATAGGTCTGAAACACTTCATCTTACAAATAGGATTAACATGAACATAACATCACAAGCTTGCAGACGACCAGCATAAAATATTGGATACAGTTTTAATCAGAAGAATCATGCTTTCATGAAGAAATCATAGCTGCTTATACAATTGAATCAGTTTACGGTTTTACAAAAACTAAGTTGCATCTATTCATTATTTAGCTCATTAAAAGGAAAAAAAAAACGAAACAAACAAAGAGAGGAAAAAAAAAAAGGAATGTTAAGAAAAGTCAAACACTGCTTGGCACTCCCGTGCACACAGGTGAGTTTGCCTGGCTCCTTGAAAGGCAGAATGGGGGGTGTGCCTCGGACATCATAAAATAGTGGCAGAATTGGAACAGTGCTATTTTAATCAACAAACAATGGTTTGCCAAGAAATAAATACATGATACATACAACACAAAAAAGAAATTAAACATTAAAAAAAAAACAGTGACATGATTGTCTAAAATTAAAATGTTATTACGATGATTTGGCAAACGTTTTATTAGTGGTACAGTGGTACTGGGGTGATGAATGGTTTATATCACGGACGGAACCTCTGTGAGCATTGAACATCCATAGTTTACAATATACACATACCCTTTATGTATTTTTCCCCTAAACAACGTAGTTAAAAAGGCAAAAAGTTAAGGTGGGGAAAGAAGCCAAAGGACTCCCTGTTGTCAGTTTCTACAATAATCAAGTGTGCATTTCATACAACTAATTCAGTCTCTGAAGGGTTAAATTACATAAAGCTTTAACAAAGAGAGGGAAAAATAGTGTAGATAAAAGCAACTGTTCCCAATTGTGTGTCAAATGATCTGATACAAAAGACTCAGTTTCTTGATTTTTAAAGGAGTGCTCATATGTGTATCAATGCCACCGTTTCAACTCCTTCCCTCATCCCACCCCCACCCACCCGCCCCAGAGCTGGGTGAACTGGAAGATGCCTCTGGCCCAGCAAGGTTTTCATTCTTTGAGTCGCATTGATCCTCCAGAAGTCAGCAGCTGCCTTTGCTGTGCAAAACAAAATATTGAGAATAAATAGTTTCTTTTTTTTCGTTTTCTTTCTTTTTTTAAAATTATTCAGTTTAAGGTCACCAGACTTTAAATGGGTGACCCAGCAGATTTATAAGGCATTCTGCTCAGCAGTCTTTTAAATAGTCCTCTGTGGAAGAGCCATGCTACTGGATTGGACTTGGTCCCAATTCTGGTCGGACGTCACAAGGTCATACGTGGCTGAGAGATTGGATGGCACTTGATTCCGCGGCAGCCCTGGCCATGCTGTGCCACACGTTGGGAGAACCATGAGATGGAGAATGAAGGGAGTCCTTGTCAGACAGTGACAACATCATAGCATAGGCCTATGAGGAAAAAATCAGAGTCAAGGTCAGGGTCATTGGAGAAAAAAAAAATCTCCAAAGAAAGTCATAGACAATCATAGACTCATCTTCTTGCCATTGTAAGCCAAAGGTCATTATTCATACACCCAGAGAATGTTGGAATTGGGAACAACCTTAGAAATTAGCCAGTCCAACTAACTTCCTTTTATAGAAGACACTGACGTGCACAGCGGTTAAATGACACGAATTGCCTATCAAGGCCAATACAAAAACGGGGGGTCTCCTGACTCCTGGGTCAGGCCCTGTTCCTCTACGTCATGCTGCCTGCCAAGGTCTAAGTGATGAAGACTTTGGATTTGAAGGTGGAATAAAAAAAAAAAGCCAAAAAATCCAGAACTTTCTGACCAACTTAGCCAGTACCTGCCTGGCAGAAAGCAGACAGGGGTGCTCAGAGAGGAAATGAGATCTCTTCCCTATCGCCATGCCAAGTCCTGAATAACACTTCAGTGCATCCCTTCTTGGTGCCAAAGAAAATATCCCACTTCAGTATTTAAGCCTTGACTTGCAAGTGAACTTTTCACTGCTGATTTGCCAATGCTGGTCTCATCCCTGAACCGGCTTGTCACACCGCTCTTGATGTGGAATCACTGAGAGTCCTGCCAAAGACATTCCACCGTCCTTGGTAAACAAGAGGAAAATGTCATTGGTGTTAGGCAGAATTTTTATTGCTCCGAGTAGTGTTAAGACATGTAGCTGGGTTATGATTCCTGCCGTCACCAAAACTAAGTCATGGCAGCCAATGGGAGGACTCATCCACACTACCATCAACCCAGATACATCCAGTGGGACTCTTCTGGGAGCAAATTGCCTTAGCAACACCTACAGCAAGCCCAGGAATGGCTCTGCTCAATCTTGACCTCACCCAGCCAATCCAGATACACATAGATATCCTTGGACTGAGGGACAATTAGGAACCTCCTTTGGCTCTTACCAAGCCCCACTCGGAGAATCGTAAGGACAAATTTATAATGTAGCTAGCTTAAGGCTCATACACCAAAAATGGGCCAATTTGTGAAAAGCCTGAACATGTGGAAATTAGAAGTAGGGACCTTGATTCAAGTCTTAAAAAATGACAAAAAATAATTTTTAAATTATTCTTGTGTTATAAAGACAATTCAGATGGAGAGAGCGCTGGACCAAAGTCTAGAAACCAGGGTTCTCATTCCAGTTCCAATACCACTTAACTGTGTGACATGAGGCAAATTAATTAATCTCTACATGTTTCAGTTTCCTCATGGTAAAATCAGGGGACTGGACATGATCACTAAGTATCCAGATCTGTGGGTCTTACAGCATTTCTATTTGATATAGACAAAAATAAACAGCAATGGTTAAGTTTTAAAAATAGTAATTCATCCAAAAGTTAAAAAGAAAAAGTCAATTATTAATGAATTTTAGTCAGTTTTCCAAATATGTGTATATTTAATAGTTTATAGCTATAGCTTACAGAAATTATGCGTGTGGGTGTGTGTGTGTGTGTGTGTGTGTGTATGGGTATGTGCGTGCAAGTCATAGGTTTTGTTTCTATAAATATACCTATCATTAACTTCACTATTAAGCCCTGACTCTCTATTTCAGATATTCTAAGCTTCCAAATACTAAATGGGCAATCCCTTTGGCAAATGGATCCATGTCTACCTATAAGACTCGACATATATATTTCATGCTGACTTAAATGTGGCTGGTCCAGCCTCCAAACAAAATTCCATCTCTTTGCCAACCCAAAGTTTGCATTATGTCAGGACAGGGCATGGCCTATTGATTCTTCTCTTTTATGAGCTACATCCTTTGCAAAGAGCAAGGCAGGATTGCCTCAGTCACTTCCTACTTACATGCTAACTCAAAAAGAATGATGTGGCTTCTTTTCAGAGTTTCTAAAAGCAACAGAAAAATCAAGACACGGAAGATTTGGTTACATCATTTGAAACACTGAGGGGCAGAGTTACGTTGTTAAAGGTTCCAAACTGGAGAGTTCTTGGCTTTGCCCTTAAAATTATGTGACCTGCTGTGTGATATGTCACTCTCCCCGAGCTTCAGTTTCCTCAGGTCTACATTAGGAAAGTAGGTCTGGATGGCCACTGAAGGTCCCCGCTGGCCTTAAATTCTAGGATCCTATAGGAGGGATTCTGAAATCAGCACTGAGACACTCAGACTCCCTTCGGGAGAAAAATGCTCTGCGTGTTATAGAGACTAAAAACCATGGCAGTATTTTCCATGAAGGAGACATGGCCTCAAAAGTCATATTAATGGAAGCAGATTCAAGAGTGGTGGGAAGACACAGCCTCTCAAGAGAACTGACAACAGAGGAAATCCTTGCATCTCTGGAGGATTCCTAGTATGCTGTGATTAAAAAATAGGTCACACAAAAGAATAAATGGACCACATCTAATATCTTCAAGAAAATATCCAATTTAGTCCATTTCCAGCCATTTGCTCCTTACCAAGCACTGTGCTAGTCAATGAGGATACAAAGGTAAAGATAAAATAATACTTGCCTTCAAGGGGCTTACATTCTAGCAGCAGAATTGGTCAGTTTATACAAGGGATTTTGGAGGAGACAACACTCATAATTCCTTGGCTCAGAAAAGTCTTCCCGTAGGAAACAGCCTTGAAGGAAGCTAAGGATTCTAAGAGGCAGGTGGGGAAAAGAAAGGCATTCTAGGCACGAGGGAGTCTGTGTAAAGAAACAGCAGCGGGAGGAAATGGAATGTTAAGCTCAGGGAACAGCTAACGGGCCAATTTGTTGGACCGTACAGCAAGGGAAGGGAATTAATGTGATATAAATTGGGGAAAAGCAAGTGGAGCCAGACTCTGAAGAGCCCTAAATCCTAAGCTGAGGAATATGTCATTTATTTTAGAGGCAAAGGGAGCCACTGAATATTTTTGAAGAGGGGAGCAACACTGTCATATCTGTGCATTAGGAAGCTCACTGTGGCAGCTGGATGGAGGATGGATTAGAGAAGAGAAAAACTGGACGCAAAGAGTCCCAAGACTCCTCATGTAACTCATTCTCAGTCTACCGGAGTTTCTGGTACCCACTGGATTTCCAATGGTCCTCTGACATGCTTTTTGCTAAGAGATAACTAGTGAAGTAGGGGGAAATGGCGCCAGAGGACACAGAATTCATTAACAGCTGTAAATACATAGACAAAACTGAAGGGGATGGGGTGAGGGACTGGAGAAGAAGAAAGCCAATATCCTGCCCAATCCCCAGCTTCTTCGTTTCATAGCACCATGGTACAGTAGAAATAAGGCTTAACTTGGACTCAGAAGACTTCCAATCAACCCCTAACTCTCTTGCAAATGCCTTGTGTAGCCTTGGACAACTCACTTCACTTTCTCTGAGCCTCAGTTTCCTCATTTACTGGTTGTAAAAGGTGCATGGGCAGGGGGCAGGGGTTGGGGCAGGCTTAATCAATGGTCCCCATGGCTCCTTCTAGCTTTAGATCCACCATCTTGTGGTTAAGATTGAATGCAGAGTAAACCACATATCAGGCCTGACCTGGATAGCTTTTTAAGGCTACATCTATGTGATACTTGAACCCTTTCACTGAAGAAAGAAATCTCATTAAACTGGTTCTTTTGTCTATATCTGCCAAACAACTGAATGACTGATTCTTTAATCATCACATATTCACAGTTTAAGCCAAGATACATTGTGTTTACGGAAATAGAGTCTAATATCAGAGATGACAAGAGATGATTTATACTTCATCCCCTTTATGGTTATAATTATATCATAATGTCTCAATTTTTCCTGTTCATTGGATTAATTGTATTATATAATTATTGCATTTGAGTTTCACACAGACAGCCTTGATTTCCTTTACTGCTGGGTGAAGATAGACAGTGAGTCTCCTCAGAGAAATAAAGATTCCCATTGGTGTTCAATACCAAAGAAATTGATGGAGTACAGTGGAACCAAAGATGTGTAGCTGAATAGCAGTTAACTGTTCCCTCCCCTATCCCACCTCCTCTATCTCTTCTCTCTCCAGGTCACATTAAGTAATAACAATAACAATAATGATAGCTAGCACTTCTATTAGTGCTTTAAGACTTGGAAGTGACTTTACATATGCTTTCTCATTTAATCCTCACAATAACCCTCAAGGTAGGTGCTATATTATTATCTCTACTTTACAGATGAGGAAGTGAGGATAAGAGGGTAGGTGCCTCCCCCAGGGTCATGCAGCCAGGGAGTATCTGGGGCCAGATCTGAGTTCCAATCCTTCTGACTCTCAGTCCAACCCTCCATCCACTGTGCCACCCAGAAGCCTTAGCTGTACCAGGGAAGAGCCCCTAGTACTCTACAACATGCTTAGTGAAGCTTGAAGAACCCAAATTAAGCAGAGGAGAGAATCCTTGTCTCAAAGGATCTTGTTATCAACTCACTTGGAGAGACATTATACCAACTCAAAACACCTGGAAAGTGATTTCAAGGCCACTGGGAAAACAAACAAAACACGGTGCTCTAGCCACAAGACCGAAGGAAGCCAGAGGTCATTATGGGGTTGGAGGTGGGAGGTTATTAGCTAAGGAATCCCTCCTGAAAGGTGCCTTGCACCTTGGCTGCTGAGAAAAAGGCAACAGGCGCCAGACCTCACAGTATATGTAGGGCCTCTGGCTTTTGTCCTGCTAACTATCTACCCAGATTCCATCATTACAAGGAGAAGACATGATCGTTTGGGGGAAACATTCACGAGCTTCACGGCCACTGGAACCACGTAGCCATGCAAGAAAAGTAACTCTTTTTTATTTGTTCTTTACTTGTTGTTCTTTGGGCTTTTTCCCACGCACACACATTGCCAACACTTTTCTCTGAAGTCAAAACCTGGGGAAATATTCACCTGTGACTTGGACTTTCTGTATAGCGGCTGTTTAAGGTCCTCTGGCAGGTGAGAAGCGCTACAAGACAGCTCAGCTTCATTATAGTGAGTCTCGTCCATTTTCCTCATTTTGAGGCTATCTGTGAAGTATCTTATATGATCTAAAGCAGAAAGTCCACTTTTATACTCCTCCTCTTTATACCTAAAATGAACCAATGGGGAAGCTTAGTGGGTTTTTTTTTCTCAGTTTTCAGTTTGTCAATCAATCAAATCTCTTTTCATATGAGCTTCTATAATTGGCAAGACCTTATATCCCTATATTTCAGCAGGAGGCAAAGTATCTCCATCCTCAAGTCCTTTGAAGTTGGTTACCGGCACCCCCACTGGAAAAAAACACCTTCCTCTAACATCAGTTAACAGCCATGGTGAAGAAGGATGGATGTGGGATGGAGACAGACTTCAATGACATGCTAAGTAAATAAGGCAACAGCGGCCGATTTCCTACTGCAATCATACTTGGCTTTTGTGGGAAATCCACTGCCTAGGCTGCCTTATATCTGGGTGAAAATGGGGGGGGGGAACCTCCAAATTTAGGTATTTCACAGAAAGCTCTCATTTTTAATTTCTCACTAGTCAGTGACGATGATACGATCATTTATGTATTCTCAACCCTCCTATATTCACGCAAAATTCTGCCTGTGACTCAGTATTGTTACGAATCAGAGGGTACCATGGCCAGCTCCAAGGAATCACAGTGGCAGCTGACCCAATAAGCGACAAAAAGATGGATGATGGGCCTCAGTAAGGTATAGTATAGCATCCAAGAAGTGAGTAAAGAAGTAATATAAAAGGTATCATCCAGTGAATGTATGATTGGAAAAGGAGGTGGGATGGCCATGAAGTTAGAGTGAGGGATGACATGTGGATGGCCCCAGTGCGGCAATGGTATCCACATGGTATTTTAAAAATACCTAGAGGTGGCACCTCTATGGAGTCGTTATGGGTGGACAGACAAGATGAGTCATAGAGAATGAGATGTTTCGGATGAGTCAAAATCTGCTCTGACAATGGCTGAGATCAAGGCTCCACTGCAGTATGAAAGCATAGACAGCTTATTCCTCTATTAAATAAGGGAAAGATCTGGAAGGTACTTGTCCTGTTTGAGCAATCAATATGACAAGCAAGTCAGATCATAAGGACTACGATAATTAAATTAACTGGATAGTTCTCAAATCTCTACTTTTCTTTTGGGCACTGTAAGCAGAGCCTCAGAAAAAATTACCATCGATGGTACTCATGCCACTTTCTTTTAGTCTTGCCTAACACAAATGCATCCCATTTCCACAAATATGAACATACTTATATGCTTAGAGATCTTACCACAGTTACACTGAGGTAATCTACCCACACGACACAATTTTTGAATATCTTTCATTGTTTGAGATTATTTTGAATACATTTGAATACATCACTCACAAAACAAACCAAAATGTTGTTCTCAGGAAAAAAATAAGGAAAGTAGAAATTGTAATGACTTCTATGTCCTGTGATGGGCTAACTGACTGACCTGCTTGGGGACGTCTTACAGTTCATTTCCAGAGCACTGGTTTCTTCATAGTTGTCCTCGGGGTTTCCTTCATGCAGATTACTTGAAATTGGCTCCTTTCCTGGTTTCCCCGTCATGTCACTTTCTTCATCTTCTTCATCCAACAATACTTCATCATCTGCTTCTTCATCATCTAGCAAGTCTGAATTTTGTCCAGCCACCAGGATCTTATCATCCTGAAAGTGGCTTCCATTCATTCTTTAAGAGAACAAAAATGTAATCAGTCAACAAACAGATAAATGAATGAATAAACCAGTTGGTGCTATAATAATCAGAACAGAATTTAGTATCAAGATTTTGCAAAAAACGCTTTTCTATCTTCAATATAATTATGGAAGATTCTTCTTTATTGTATTCCATAGACACCTTAGGAAACACAATCACTTTAAAATAAAGAGATCAAAGTAAAAAAAAATATAATGAGGTATCCTGGCTTCTATAATAAATCAAGCTGGAATGTAAGTTAGAAAAATAATTGAAATGCCTCTTCCAGGGCTATGTGATGATGCAAAGAGCAGTAGCTGGTAGCAGAATGTATTAGATGGTCTAGGTTGGAGGCAGTGCTCTGTGGGGACTGCAACTGAACCCATTATTTCATTGATACTGGGAACACCCAGATGAGGGAGCTTCTGTTCCCAATGCGGGTCAGCAGCATCTAATTTCAGAGCTGCCTCCTAAATGTAAGGGCCTTGCCAAGGGTCACATAGTCAGTGCACGGCAGGGGAAAACTTGACCCAGGTCTTTTCAAATCTGTGACTGGCCCCCTAACCACTAACCCACACAGACTCTCTAAAAAGTTACAAATAACTGGTAAGTCTAGAAATTTTTTCCCTTCTGGTTCAGACCTATGATTTTATTCGTGCTGAAAATTCCCAGTGAAGAAACTCGTTCTACCATCAAAGATTCACAACTATTCTGCTTTGTATAATCTCAAGGAGTTATACACCTGAGATTGAGACTTGAGCCCAGGTCATCCTGGAAGGGTCTGTGACCTAGACATACACTAGCCATTATTTAGTGTCAAAAGCCCTCCTGAGTCCCTTGCCCTGGGGGAGATGATCTACTTAATTTGGGGGTGAGGCCTAAAGTAGAGCTGCCCCAGATGCAATTTCAAGGAGGCATACCTCAACTATACCTCACCCCATTATATTTGGTTAAATTCCAAGACTCCACTGACCTTTGCCTTGATCACCAGGCAGGAGCAGCTGGTACTTTGCTATTGGTACTGCTGCTATGTACAGTAAAAACTCCACCCACCACTAGCACAGGGGTTCTGGGACCAGTATTACTATTGTTACTATGCAGAGTGAAATTACCCACCACTGCCCAATGGTTCCATCACCTACCTAAACCAAAGTTCCCTTCCCTGGCCCCATCCCGTCCATATCAGCCTCATCTCTTCCATATCTCTATCCTCCAGGGAGTAAATGACATGGAGAGGATTCACACACAAGTCCTGAGACTCCACATTCAGCATTCTTTCCACAGCAAAACTTGCCTCCTTGGTTAGAAACTTTCCCTTATCCCAACTCCAACTGATTCTTCAAGATTTCCACCCAATGCTCTTAGTTCTGGCCTTCAGATCCAAGTAGAATCCACCTAATCTCTCTCCCAAATAACAAGCTCTTCAGACGTGTGTAGGCTGACAACATGCCCCTCTGACCTGGCTTGTCGAGGATAAAATCTGCCATTTCTTCCAACCAAACCCCACACTTGTGTACTCTGGGATCCATTTTTTATGTAATTTATAGAATCACAGAATTTAAACTTCATAGAATTTAAATTTAAATTTAGAATTCAATTTAATTTTAAAATTAAATTTTAAAATTAAATATGGAATTTAAAATTTATAGAACCACAGATGTTTAACACACCAGTCAACCAACCAACACTTATTAAGCACCTCCTAATGTCTGGGCACCATGACAGGCATTGGGGACGTACAGTCTAAACGGAAACAGCCTTGGTCCTCCAGAAGCTTACAGCAATGAGTATCTAGCCCATCCCTCATCTGATAGAGCTCTGAGACCCAGGGGGTTTCAGTGACCTACATAAGGTCCAATTCACTGCAACAGAACCAAAACTAGAAACCAAGTCTCCTGAGCACCATTCCAAAGTCTTTCCACTGTACCAAGCTATCCAATTCATGTGTCAATTAAGAAACTCCAAAGTGAATAAGTAATCACGTAGAGCTAGAATCATCATTCCTCTACGATGACTCTTTCTCAGATCATAAACGATCAGGTCTGTCCAATCCACCCCGTGTTTTTTTGCCTGGGTAATACAAATCAGGATAGCTAACACTCACAATCTCAGGAAAGGAAGAAACAAACAAAGAACCAGAAAATCTAAGGAAAAAGGAAGCGGTGGAGAAGAAACAGCTTAATCAAATCTTTAACAAGCTAATTACATAACAAATATCATTCCCTTTTTTTTAAAATTAAAGAACACAATGTGAACATGTCCTAGAATGATAGGAAATATGCCCTTTCGTGTGATTTCTTAACCCAATCCCTTTGTTTTCTGGACCACTGAAGGAAAGACAAAAAATAGAAACAGGATCAAGATTTAAGCCCTAAAACTAGAATGGACCCTCGGAACCATCAGTCCATGTTCTTATTTCAGAGACAGGAACCCTAAGGCCCAAAGAGATGAAGAGTAAGCATTAGAGACAGGATCCGAACCCAGGTCCACTGGGCTTGTGGGTCATAAGCTACTGTGCCAGTCAATAGGGTCATTAATTATGCTTTCAAAGCTGGCCATTCCCAGAGGATACAATATTCCTCCAAAACAATCTTATGTGCCAAATTAAGAAAGGAAACCCTGGATGACTCATCACGCTCTCTACTTACATCCTGTTTCGCGTATGCTGAGGCCAGATGTGTACACACACACCCTGATCACCAATTAAGAACTGAATATGTAACTTGGCCTCTCCTGCTGCAAACAGCATTTCCTCCCCCTTACATTCCACCTCGGCATCGTTGGGACTTTGTAGCTAAAATAGGAATCACTCTGCCATCAGTCACCAATTCCAGATGATGATTTTGTATAAAAGGAATCAAACTGAAAGATGCTTGCAAGCGTAGACACTGACAAGCCGGAGCTGCCATCCAATCTCCTAGTGCCCTTGACGGTTCATGCGTGTACCAAACTGGACATGCTTTTCAATCGGAAATGCACTAGGCTTCTGATTTCCTTTCTTCTTGGTCGGCCACATTTTTATCCTCGCTGAACAATCAGAAGTGGTGGGAGGCTTTTGACGTGATTTTGGAAGATCTCTACATTTAAATACCTTTACCCCCACATCTACCCTGATGGACAAAGAATGGTTACACATTTGCCAAATGGTTAAGAGGTTGCACGGGGAGCTTCTCAGAAATATTAAGCAACAGGAATCTCTATTAATTAGGTGACACAGTGGCCTGGAGTTAGGAAGACCCGAGTTCAAATTCAGCCTCAGACACTGACTAGCTGTGTGACCCTGAGCAAGTCATTTGACTCATTTGCCTCAGTTTCCTCATCTGTAAAATGAGGATCATCATAACGCCTACCTCCAAGGGTTGTTGTGAGGACCAAATGAGATAATACTTACAAAGCACTGAGCACAGTGCCTGGTGCATAATAAGCACTTTATAAACATTTGCTATCACCGTCATCATCCTCATCATCATCATTAATGTTACTGTCATTAGTTTATTTTAGTTTCTACTGGTTTGAGAGCTAGGTTCTTCTTTCTGTCCATGGTGCCTAGCGTAGTGTTTGGTAAATGGATGACAGTATTAGTAACACTGACAATAAACATCAAAATAATAAGGTTAATGCAGGAATATCAGATCTAACTAAACAAATGGGAAGTGCTCCCACGGGCTAACCCACTTCGGGCAGAGACTTCAAAGGGACAGTCCTGTTGACCAGACAGCCACAAGCAAGTTACACTGGCAACATAATGATCACTCAGCTAGTGACACTGGAGTCTCGGACACTGGTACTCTTGAATTAGCCAAATAATTCCTGACTGGCAATTAATCTTCCATTTATTTTTGAAGTGGGCCGACTTCCCTCCACCAGGCTGCTTCGGGTCTACTATGGAGCTATTAAACTCATGCTCGTCACCCTGGTTCAAAGCCTCCTCACCTTTCACCTGGACTATCATAATGTTCTCCTAACGGGTTTCCATGACTTCAGTCTCTCCCGTTTTAGAGCCATAGTTCACATGCTCAACAAATTCTATTCATAAAGCATGTGTATCATTTCCCATTCAAAAAGTGTCAGTGATTCCTGATTGCCTTGAGGATAAAGTCATCATCTACGTACATGTTGCCCCTACCCCATAGAATGTAAGCTCTCTGAAGGCAGAACTGTTTTATTTTTGTCTCTGTATTCCTTCTACCTCGCCCAGTGCCTAGAATTGAATGGAACTGAACAAATTACATTAAGTTTCATTCCACATTCGTGTCTTGAGTGCACAATTTTTTTTTTAATTCCATCTCAAGCCAGTCATGCTTTACCTCTCCTCTGCATTCCTTGGTGATTGGTGACTATGGTTGCTGTTTCCAATGAAATTTCGAATTTCTGTGAAGTAGGAATCCTCTTTGTCATCCAAGATGGCACCTGTGCTTTCCAGTTCAGAATGAGGCGATGATGTCGCAGTACCTAAGGGGAGGAAGAGTTCTTTTGAAAAAGATGCAATTCATCATTGGAGTGTTTTTGTACTCGAACTCAAACTTTCTGGATTCAATTGGTGCCATTCTGCCATTAAAAATGCTGAAATCAGGGTAAGCAATTCACCCAAAGTAAAGAGGGTTCTCCCCAACGTTCCGGTGAGTCGTCTCTCGGAAACATTGGAAAGAGAACTCCATTCAGGTCTCCCCCACTAATTCTTAAAGAATTTCAAGATGGAGGGATGGGGGGGTGGGAGAAGAGCAGAAATCTTGGTGATAGTAGAATGTAATCTCCTTGGGGGCATGCATAATCTTCTTTATGGAACCCAAATACCTGGCTCAGCTCATCACACATCACAGGCACTTAATAAGGGTTTGTTAAACTAAATTAACAAGTCTTAGATATTCTCTGCTATACTAATACTAATACAAATACTAAGATATAATTTATATATGCATATATGTGTGTATGTACATACATGCATATTATGTATATTAAACTCTTGCAAAATATTGCATGTCTATTTTCTTATTTTATTTTAAAAAAACCTCTGTCCAACCAGCTAATCAGTACTTAGACATAAAATAATATTAACAATGGTAAATGCTCATATTGATATAGCACTTTAAAAAAAAAGAAAATGCTTTGTATTCTGTATTTTCAACATAGCCATGTGAAGCAGGTAGTGCAAGCAATCTTATACCCATTGTACAGATGAGGAAACTGAGGCTCTGGGGGAAATTTAATAAACTACCTGAAGTCACATGGCTAGTCAGAGGCAGAGCTGGGATTCAAACAGTTCTGGTACAGTGAATGTAACTCAGCAAAGGTTCAGAACCGTCCTGAGTTACAAGGAATTTATAATCCAAAAGACGATTAACTGGGCACTTCATGCAAGTACCAACAGCTAAGAACATTATGGCATTTTTTCAAAGAAGTAATCCTGTTTCACAGTCACAAATTAGTATCAAGTCTCATATATACATACACACACACACACACACACACACACATATATATACCCATACATAAATAAAATATATACTCTATTATTTTATTCACATACATGTGATGTACATTCAAGTACATCAATGACCCCATACCATTCATTCATTCTTTAGAATAACCCTAAAAGAGAACCTCATACTCAATGCTACCTATATTTATGTCTACATTTTGCACAGTAGCAAAATATCTCTTTGGATGGACACATTCTCTCTGTGAAGTGTTTCCCAGGAAAGATCACAGCCCAGAACACAGACATACTCCATTGAGTAGTTTAGCAATAAACTCTAGTCAAAATTGTTCCCTGAACTGGTCTGCAATCCTGGGGAGATACAAAAAGACATCTACAGTAGAGCTAATCTGAGGGCCGTCAACCTGGTCAACCATCCAGTATCTCAACAGGGGCCGTTTTTTATGCATCAATAAGTCACATGGTTAAAAACTCATGCTCTCCCATCATGAGAAACCTCTCTTTTGCCAAAGACCTGTCTCTCCTGAGTTTGGGGTTTCAGACAATTTTATCTCTTTCTTTGTATTCCCAAAATTTGGTACAGTGCCTGACACAGACTGCCTATGCATATTATAGTGTAAGACTCCAAATTTTTCATAAGCTCAACCAAACAGAAGTGCCCCCACATTGCTGACCCCAAATTGACTCTCCATGACAGGGTATGAGTACTATTGGAATTTGCTGGAAACACAGCCTTAAGATCTCAGATCGGCTCATCCTTCAGAAGTCAATGATTCCAGTGCCCTCCCACCATCACGTCTCTCCGGCTGACAAAAGGAATCACCTACCAGACATGTTCCCATTCTCGTGTTTCTTTAGGTGTCTGTCTAGGTTGGTTTGCTGGCCAAAACACCGGTCACACAAGTGACACTTGAAAGGTTTCTCCTTATTGTGAATGTTTCGCACATGTCGCTGTAAGTTGGAAGATATGCTGAAGGATCGATCGCAGTATTTGCATCTGAAACAAACCAAACAGGCACAGAACATGTTCCATCAAAATAAAGGGTGTTTCTTCTATTGCAGAGAATACGGGTAAGTTCCATGAGGGCAGGTGGAGACCTCAAAGAAAAGGCCTACATGCACATAGATGCTCGCTGGATAATCTTTCCTTTGCCCTCTTTTCAACCTTCCATTTCCATGGCATCTCATGTCCTTCACAAGTCAGCTCGAGCACTACCCCGCCCAGCTCCCAGGGGTCTCCCTCCTAAAGTAGCTTTCTATTTATTTTGCATATATTTGATACATATTCACTATTACACATGTTGTATCTTCCTAACAAAATGCAAGAGCCCTGAAGGCAGGAGCTATTTTATTTTTGTCTTTGTATCCTCAAGATCCGAAATAATGTCTAGCAGATACTAAGCATTTTAAAATGTTTGTTGATTGACTGATTGAAAGAGGTTCTTTTTATTTGCTACATTTTAGAGAAGCAAGATGAGTGAGGTTTAAAGTCACAACATGATACCATGGTGATTCTAACCCCCCTACTCACTGGCTGTTATGTTTTAAAATTATTTTTATGAAAAAACACCAAACAATATTTACTGCCTGAAATGAGTTGGGCAAATTAACTCTAATATTTTCAAAGTACTCCATGCCAAGTTAAGGAATTTAAAAAGTAAATCACAATTCTGTTACTTCATGTCCTGCCAATACAACACAATTAAACACTTTGTAGGGAGAAAAAAATAACATGAAATAAATTCCCTCTAATATTCAAATAAGGTAAGAAGGGCATTTTTTTTCTCTGTTCAAAATCACAGTCTGATTAAATCTTTTCTTGAGGAATTAGCTTTCTTGATTGGCAATCCCGAAGGAAATTTCATTTATCTTCCCCAACCCAGCAATAAACAATTCAAGTCTTTAATACCGTGCCAATGTGAGAAGTGGAGTCTATCACTTGTGGACCAGAAGCATCAATTTTCATACTCCGGAGTGATCTGGGGCCCTAAAGCCTTCACTGGATTGCTCCTTAAGCACTACTGAGCCGTGCTACAGCTACTCCAAATTCCCCTCCTGGCCTGTGGCCAAGAACTTTTGATATTAGGTCCTCCCCCTCTTTTCCAATTCTTCTGTTTTTCTTCTAAACAAATGTGACCCCGAACAAGGTCACTGTTCCCCAAAAGCAATTATCTATTTTGTCGATCACGGTTTCGTCATTGCTCAGGCTAGAAGATCATCATTTACTTCAAAGTATCTCTTGAGAAAAGAATAAAAGCAGATGCAAAATCCTACTCTGTCTCCCTTATCACTGAGGTATGGGGGGAAAAAAAAGTGTGGTTTCTTTAACTGATGGGATTTCTCTCCTTTTTCACTGTAGGGCACAGAAAGCATCAGGTTTTTCCCCCCTCTTTTATTTCTTAAGATAATAAATTGGTTTTTACCCAAGAGATCCTTGCTGTAAAATTTCAGAGGCAATGACTGCATTCTAAAGCTCATTCTTATATGTGTGTGTGTGCATGTGTGTGTGTGTGTGTGTGTGTGTGTGTGTGTGTGCGCGCCTCCTCTCCTATGCTTCTGTTCAGAATGTAGTCTGACACAGTGAAAGTCAGAAGACAGGTTCATATCCCAACCCCTGGGGATTCTGTCCCCTTTGGCAAATCCCTTAACCTATTTGGGCCTCAGTTTCCCCATATGTAAAATAAAAGGCTTAGACTAGATGATCTCTGAGGTCTCTTCTAGCTTGAGATCTATAATCCAATTGTTTTAAATTGTTTTCCTCATCTCCCTATCACACACACACACACACACACACACACACACACACTTTTCTTAATCTTGTTTCCTGTCTCTTCTTGTACCCCCTCTTCTTTCCCTTTGGTCCTGGCTCAGGGCTGCTGATGACCCTCACAACTCATAAGGCTGCAGATATCCCTCATACTAATACAGTTGAGAGTTAAGAAGTGTCACCTGACATTATTTCTACACAATCACAGAGCTAATTTCAGAGATGAGGAATTTTTAACTGAGATCAGGGAGTAAAAGCATGCTTCAGGCATCATAAGAAAGAGAACCCTGGCCCCATGATTTTGTTTCTGAAGCATGAGACCACAACTACTAATAATAGTACTTTATTGTTTGCAAATTATGTTAGAAATACTATCTCATTTGATCTCCATTTTTCACAGATGGAGATACCTGAGGCAGATAGCATTTAAATGACTTGCCTAGGGTCCATCAGCTAGACAACTGTCTACTGAACCCAAAGTCATGAACAGCCATGTTCTCAGGCAAATCCCACACATCTCCCCAGAAATGGTCCTTCATGAACATGCTGCCAATACATGCACATCAATTATTCCAAAAATAAAAGAAAAATCAAGCAAAATGTATCATCAAACCTGTATGGCTGCTCTCCAGTGTGCGTCCTTAAGTGACGTGTTAGGTTTGCTGATCTTGGGAAAATCTTGCCACAATATCTGTTATTAAAAATTTTTTATAAGAGAATGTCATCACTATAGTTTTTTTTTACCCCATCTGACCTGCATAACAAACCAGATGCCTGATCCTAATGTAATTGATCCCGCATGTCCTTAGTATTTACAATTTTAAAAGAAAAAAAAAGGATCCCTTGAGCTCTAAACAGTTCTACACATGATAGCTTCAGTGCTGGGTGGGGTCGAATGTGGGCACAAGTTGGGATGACCCCAAAGTTCCATTTTTATTAACTCCACGTCTCTCCTGTTCACGAGATTAAACTTGGATCGGAAAGGAGGGGGAAATGATGAGTAGTTTGTGATTTCAGTCTGATGTAAACTGACTCCAAACATTTCAACTCATTTTCCAAGTCAGCCGAAGTGACAGCATGCTGTACACTGACCTGTATCAGATCAGACAAGACTCTAGGACCTCATCCATCAAGGTATGCTTCCATAAAAGCTTTCCTTGAAAGAAGGTGACATGTTTTCCAAAAGAACAGATAAATGGATATGCCGCCATCAGATAGCACAGCTCTCCCGGGGTGAGTAAAAAAGGATGGAGTTAATTAGAACAAAAGCAGGCTGCCGATGGCTAGACACTGTACTGGCCCAGGCCACTCCTTCACCAACATGGCACACTGGCTGGCTTTGCTTCTAATTGTCAGGACTATTCATTTGTGGATGCCTGAGGACGGTAGGACTAAGGTTTGTAACGAAAATAATTAAGTACGAGAGAAAATTCATCAATATCAAAGTGATGGGGAAATATAAGAAGCAGAGAGGATGTAGACTAGTTTCAGCCTCACTCATCAAAACTCTTGAGTGGCCTGGTTTAAATTCTTCATATAATATAGAACACCATATTCATGTCTCATTAAATAAAGAGTACTTTGAGAAGTTACAGACCTACCACAATCTCTATTCGTCATCCAATCAAGAATCATTTCCAAAATAAACAAGGGGGAAAGCCCATCATCATTAACTTGGCAATTACCTGCAAGTATACCGTTCCTTGCCCTTCCGAAGCAAGTTCTCGGGCAGAGCGTTTGGAGGGGCTCTGAAGTTGAACATGGAGGGAACTGATTGGATGAGCTCATTGCCTTCTGGTTTCAGAGCACTGAAGCTGTCCAGCTTTTCAGCCATGTTTTCGATGGCGGACATCTGAGAATGGAAAAAATGCAACACAATCAATGAGGTCACCTTGACTACCACTCGAAGGAATGATGCCAAGCACAGCAATGACCATGATGTCATGATTCTGGTAGCACTTTAACACTGACAAAAAGCACTTTCCTCAGGACAACCCCAGGACAGAGGGAACACATTTTAAAGATGAGTGGATGGTCAGGAATATACAACACAGAATAATGGACAGAGTTCTGGAGGTGGAGGCAGAAGCCCTGAGTTTGAATCCTACCTCAACTACCCACCAGCCACGTAAACCTGGGCAAGTCACGTCTTCAATTTCTTCATCTGTAAAGGATAACAATGCCACCTATTCCACAGGGCAATTGTGGGGATCAATTGAAGCAAGTGCTTTGTAAATCTTCAACGCTAGTGGTTAATATTATCGTTACTTAATTTCTCAGCCTCAGTTTTATCTATAAAATGGGTATAATGATAGCAGCAGATCTACAGGGCTATAATTATTTATTTTATATTATTTCCATTTTGTCTCTGTATCCCTACTGCACATAGGATCACAGGAAGGGTCCTCAAAGACCTCCCATTTTACAGAAAAGAAACTGAGGTAGGCAGATAAATAGCGAAGTTTATAAAGCACTTTGCACATGTAACCCCATTGGGTGGGTACTATTATCATCTCCATTTTACAGTTGAGGTAACTGAAATGAACAGGGGTGGTGACTTGCCCAGGGTCACATAACTATCATCATTTGAACCCATCTTCTTGATTCCAAGTCCAAGACACGATCTTTGGGCCACCTAACTGCCTCCTTAAAGATCACAAGCTTCCTCCTTAAAACAAATCCTAAATCTCTAGCCCAAGGAATGCCTTGTAGGGCTAGATCAGCTCAGCTACTGTTACTGACAGGCCACTTTAGCAATAAAAGGATAAGGGCAGGATAAAGAAACAAATCTTTAGGCAGAATCTAAGACACCAATGGTGTGCTGGTGAATGTTTAACAACCAGTTCTCCAGAAAGTATGGTGCTGAGTACTGGGAATAGAAGTATGGAGAACAAAACAAAACGTACTCACGAGGAGCTTCCATTCTAATGGGAGAGACAAGTGCATATAAAAACACATAAAAAAATAAAGTCTATGTGTGTGTGTGTATATTTATATTATGTATACAATATATTGTATATGTAATGTATATATACAATATATATACAATATATGTTATATTTATTTCACATAGAATAATAATCTATTATTACAGAATAATAATCATATATATGTATATGTGTATATATATGTGTATATATGTATGTACATATATATGTGTGTGTGTATATATATATATATATATATATATATATATATATATATATATATATACATGTATAAGTGAGGTAATCTGGGATTATTATTCTATGTGAAATTGCAAATCCCTCTGCATCATTTGACTTTTTATTCTCTGTTGGGTGTTCCGGTCCACACCCATGATATTTCATTAGTAGGATTCTCCCAGTGACAACCTCCGCCCCAAACCAATGGGGGTCTCTCCAAGAACACCAAGAGTGATTGGCCCAGGGTCACACAGAATGAGTCAGAGGCAAGTGCTGAACCCCGATCTTTCTGAAATGTTTCCTCCCACTTCCATAGTATGTATTTTATACACAGATAGTTGTTGACATGTTTGTGTGCTCTCTCTCTCTCCCTCCCCCTTTGGAATATAAGCTCCCTGAGGGCAGCTACTTTTTGGCTTTCTATATACATGGTGCTGTCACACACTGAGTCCTTAATAAAGGTTTGCTGACTGACTTCCTAACTCCTACCTGGTACTCTACTCTGCTTCACTGCCAGTCTTTGGTGCCATCCCTTGGATACCGCATTAGACTTTAGGTCCACCTTGGTCAGCATTCTTAAAGGCTAACATACTTTCTGGCATCTCAGCTGGGGGAGATCCTCCCCTTTTAGCTGCACCTCCCAAAGCCATCCTGAGTGTTGACTCCCGGGTGTGCTTTGTTTAAAAAAAAGACTTCGGACTGAAATGTCACCACTCCAGTGGGGGCCGGGGGAAGCAAACTTTCAGAGCGTAGCACTGAGTTACTCATTTCTGCATTTTCCACATTCTCATTCTCTGTGGTTCTTAAGGAAAATTCTTCAAGGACCTCTCAAGGATACAGCAGGGACCAGCAGAGGAGGTAAAGGTGGGCGGCAAAAAAAAAAAAAAGGACAAGGGGGGGACCCAGGGAAAGGCACAAGGTAGGGTATAAAGCGACTTCGAACAAAAGAACACCACAACTGGCCGTCCCACAGCTGATGGGTGCTACAGGGAGAGACAGGCACAATCCCAAGGGAGAAAAGAAAAAGCATATTTCATATTTAAGTGGGAAATGAAGGAAACGTATGCTCTATAGACACAAGGCGAAGGCGACGTAGGATGTCATTTGTTTCTGAAACCTGACAGGGGCTGTGGCAGAGTGAGCCGAATTCAATTCTCTCCTTACCAAGAAAATATCCTAGGCTTGCTGGCCCACATGACTATTCATGTTCTAGTTAGCTCTGGGGGATGGTGGTATTTCCCCCTCCCCCTTTAGCCCCTGGCCTGGCCTGCCCTCCCATTTCATGCTCAGACCCTTAATGCTAGCTACAAATTGCAACGTACAGGGTACCACTGCCAATTTGCCCAAATGTCTTTCATCAAACACTGTGCAAAAAAAAAAAAATCTCAGAGGGAAGTCAAGATACATTTACTTGTCAGATGGCAAATGTAAAAGCATCAGAAGGCGGTCGGGGCTATCAGCTCAGGGGTTTGATTCATAATCACTCAGCTGCTAAAACATTCTGCACAGATGTGAGTGGACAGCACATCTGTCAATATGAAGGATTCTGACGGGTGCTGATCACAGGGCAGAGAGATGTGGTGATGATGGCCCTCTGAGAGGGGCTCATTCGGCTTGACAGAGAGATGGCATTATCAGCCTCCAGTGCCCACCCCTCAGCATTTTTTAGATGACCTTGGAGCTTGTTTATTCAAAAATCATCTGTAAAACAGTTGACGATGGGATTTTTACTGCATCGAATCTTTCTAATTGTCCCTTGTAAAAAGCCATGGTGACATCCTGCTCCTGGGGAATAAATTGGGGGTTGAACTGCAGGACTGAGCAAGAATAAGGGGGGTGATTTTGTGATTTTTTACAGGGATGCCCACTGCTGATGGCAATAGAACATTTCATTCAGGAATATTTAATATTTAAGAAAGTAATCAGTCCCCACCTTCAGGGACCTCACATTCTAATGGGGTAGATAACCTACAAGCTTCCAGGTACATACAAGGTAAACATGGGAGTAGAGGGGAGTCCCCCGAGTTTCATTATCTCGTGGTGCTAAATCATGTTAGGACCAACTCCTCACCCCCAAAAACACAGATTCCAACAGTCATGCATCTCTGAGAAATACCCTTCATTTTATTTAAAACGGCCTGACTGTGCCTCTTGACAGTCCCTAGTTCTGCTCTTTTGATCTCACAAAGGAGAAGCGAGCACTCCAAGTCACTAAAGGTAATCAGTAGTTTGGGAAAAAGCATCTTGCTTTAAAGAGGGACTATTTTAAGAGTGTGACTGTCTATGTCTCAAATCTTTCCTGTTCTCAAAATCCTCTAGCTGCAAGAAGAAATATTATGGGGCTGATTGTTGAATCAATAGCATTCTTAAAGATAACAGGGGAAAGAGAAGGAGGAATATTACTCCTTCCCTCCTCTCCCCCTATCCCTTTCTCTTCTGAGGATGCTATGCAAAAATAAAATGGAGATGAAAGGGATAGGATGAGAAAGATAGGAGGGGCTATGGAAAGAGCGAAGGGCAGCTGTACACACACACACACACACACACACACAACACACAACACACACACACTCTTCGGTCCAACCGATATTCCCTCTGCTCACTGCTAGGAACTGATGAAGACACATACAAGCTATCACTGAATTCTGCCTTTCATCTTCCTTCAGGCTGGCCATGGTAGTGTTCTGCCTTGTTTGGCAAGAGAGCTGGCATCCACCATGGAAGCAGACAGCAGGGATGCCAATGTTTGCTAAGGGGGGCAGAGGGGACATGCCCAGTGCACACCACCCAAGTGTCATAGACCAAGGTGAATCCCCGCTGGTGTGTAACCCCAGATACCGGGACCTCTCCTGCATCCACACTCTCCCAATATGGAACCTAAGACAAAGCTATTTGTTGCCAGGGGAAAAGATAATGATCTACCCAAGTACTGGGGAGTTTGGGGACATACATCTTACCAAGGTGAGTTCTGAAATTTAAAAGGGAACACACAGTGAGGTGTAGTATCTTTGGGGAGTGGTATTTAACTACAGCTCAGTGCTCTTAGATAAAGATATGATGAGGAAAAAGAGAAGGAAAAGAATGAAGAAGGAAAGGAAGAGAAGCAGGAAGAAGGGGAAGAGAAGGAAAAAAGAGGGGGAAGAAGAAAAAAAGAAAGAAGGAGGGGGAAAAGGAGAGGAAGGAGAAAGATGGAGGTGAAGAGGAAAGCAACATGGAAATGGAGGCAGAAAAGGAGAAGAAAAATTGGGACAAAAGGCACATTACATATTCAGAAAAGCCACTGCTTTGTGGTCCATGAATGTCTTCTAATCTCTGATCAGTAAATGACTTTACATGGAACAATCTTTTTTTTTATTTACACATATATAACAGTTGTTGATGCTATCAGCAACTAGACCCTGGAAAAGGAAGTCGTTTCACTCCCCTTCCTGGTCCCTAAGAGGCTATTAACCTTATACTGACGCAAACTCAAATGTAGCCATAATTCCCCAGCTCCTACCCCCAAAGGCAGACATTACCCTGGTCCGATAAAAACAAGCACTTTTATAAACATTTCAGCAGGCAAGATATCAACAGGACCCTAAACATTTATCTTAAAATTTATTATACAGCAGCTGAAAATTGGTGACATAGAGTACTTTCCCTTTAAAATGATGGCAGTGATAACCTGATTACATGAGATGATAGCCCCGGCAGTGCCATGAATTACATGACCTTGGGTTTCACAAATTGGACTACTTTGGGTGTTATCTTAAAACAACCAATTCTCAGAAATAACTTATGGGAAAAGTTTGTCCATCTTAGTTTTCTATTTTTATTTATTTCATATCTTGACAAATCTCAAAATCATGACCATGAAGTTTAAACATGTATTTTAAAAGACAGGGATAAACAGTGGCCTGTTTTAGTGACATTACTTTCAACAGTCCTAATTATAAAATCACTTAGATTTTATGAGCATGGAAATATGATGAATATAACAAATTATCCCACTATGTCTAATATTCATACTTAATCTGTATATCGAGTGATTATGAAGTTAGTGGGGCCAAATGATTGGAGATCATTTCTAAATGAGTTCATTGGCAAACAGCATAATAATGACAATCAATACTGAAATCATAGTTAACTATTTAAATCAGAGGCAGCTGTTGTCAGCAGGACTGGAAGGGTACCCAGGAAATCCTCTACCCAAAAGTATCCCTCACTTTCTGTCATATTGCTTAAATGTCACCATTTCATATATGCATATATGTATATGTGTACACATATATAAATATATAAACATATATATTATATATGATATATAAGATATATTGTATATTAATAAATATATAATATATATTATATATGATATATAAGATATATTATATATTAATAAATATAAAATTCATTTTTTTCATTTGGGTCATTAAGGCTTTCTACTGAATCCCTTTAAAAAAAAAAACCCAAGCATGTGTTAACACCTTAAGTAGGGAAAGGTATACAAGTGGTACCCTTGAGGTGGACAGTGGGCATCCATGGACAGCAAAGGCGGAAGGAGACCACAGGCAGAATGCACCTATTTCACTTTTTTTTTTTAAATTAGGAAGTCTCATCTGCTTAGTTTTTGAATTACAGGTGTCAGAAACAGGCTTTCAATTTCGAGTCAGAAAAAGGAAAAAAAAAACCTGGATAAGAGAAACCAGCAGCAACCAGAAAGCCTAGTTCTCTCTTAGAATGACGCTCCCTATTGCCCGCCTGGTATTTTAATAAGATGGCCGATCTCCATCATGGAGGTCTTTTGCTTCTCCTGAAATAAAACTGGATCTTTGAGGGAGAGGGTGGAGGGAATGGGGGACGTGGGGCAGTGTGGAATATTTGCACAACACTTAACTTCTCATGTTTTCCTTTCCTCATGATATATTTGGAGAGGAATCGACAATACAATTCCAGTCCTAACAAAATATGCCTCTAACACAAATCCATTTACTGATGGTAGGACATCTCTGGCAACGGTTACTTATTAGCTCACTGATGTGGCAGAGTACATAATATACCACGTAGCTGCCATGTGGGTATTTAAAACATAATCTTTGCTTGATTTTTCCAAAAATCCAGAAGTCCATTTCACTCTACTATGACTTTGACCATGAATGTTAATATCAGTTAGTGAAGCTAGTCCCTTAATTTTCCGGACCAATTAAAGCATCTTTTAGCTTCTAATCTTGAAAAACACAGAACTCAGTTTGCCCAAACATCTAGAACCTTGGAGGCCTGACTCCAGTGAAGATTTCCTCACTAACAATGGGGACTTCGGTGCTTGAAGATCTGACTTTTTGAACCCCCACATTACATTATCCCTCATATATTTCATAGCACCTTCTCCAGCAAGTCCTTCCTGCTCCCCTGCCCACAGCTGTTAATGCTCTCTCCTTGACTTTACTGCAAATGATGTTGTCTGTAATTTGTATTTACTTATCTGTGCCCACGCTGCATCCCCACACCCTTGGCCCCTGTAGAATATAAGCTCCCACAGGGTAGGCACTAGTCACTTTGTACCGGTACCCAGCGTAGTACTTGTGCACAGCATAGCACAGTGTATCTAGCATAGCCTTGTATACACTAAGTGTTTAATAACAGTATATTGAATAGAATAATGGTTGAATGAAACTGGACTGAATGGCCCTGGAGAACCAGAAGATGTTCCACATCAGCTTGAAATTATTTTAGATATCTCACATTGTAGAACAAACTTTTTTAAAAATTCACAATTTATTAAACATTAAATAATAAAAGCAGGAGATTGTAGCTTGGGAAACCTAAGCTGTTTGTTTGTTTGTTTGTTTTTCAAACAGTTCACAGCAGCCACATTATCCCCCAGAAAAGTGCATACGGTGCTTGTCAGTACACCATGATTTAAAGTGTAAGTCACTTTGTTCTTAATTTATGGTACAGCGGTGCATTGTTTTAAGCAAAAAGATAAGTAGGAAACTTACCCAAGTTCTCTGATCAGGCAGTTGGAACTGGGAGCAAAATTGAAACAAAAACAAAAAATTACTTTTATGTTGGAACTCAAATTTGCATTGATCTGAGCAGTTAACACTTAACTTTGTTGTCTACCATGGAATTGTACCTTAAAGATATAACTGCAGCAGCAAATCAGAGAATCGGAAAATGGTGCCACCATAGCCCTCCTTAGGCACCCTTCAGGTTTCTGAAGCCCATTTTAGGGATGTGAGTGTCCCCCTCCTGCTCAGAATCGTGAACAGCAAAAGGACCCATTCCTAACTTGGGGTGGGGGGTGTTCTGGTTAGCACTGGTGAACTGCAAAGTGCTCACCCACTCAAGTTCCACCGACTAGCCAGGCATCAGGGCAGAGATAGCTTCATCTGTATTGCTGATCTCCAGAGCCTAGCAGGGGCACACGATATGTGCCCAATAGACAGTAATCCTTCCAGGAGCCTTTACTGGCACTCACCATGTGACAGGCATTTTAGTAAAGTCCGAGGATAGAAAAAAAAGAAGAAAAGGAAAACATTCTCTGCTCTCAGGGAGATTATATTCTAAGGAGGGAAAAGCATGCAAACAAACAGGTCCATACAAAATACATACAGAGCAGACTGAAGGTAACCTTAAAAGTGAAAGAGCTAACCGCTGGAGGGAGGAGGGGAAGACTCGGAGGTGAGAAAGGCAAGCTGAATCAGCTGTGATATAGAATGTTGCAAAGTATAGAGAATTCATTTAACTTCCAAAAGGAAGATATGGAATTCCATTAGCGAAAAAAAAAAACACATACAGAAATGACATTTGATAAAAAATTTTTTGTTCCATCCCCCCCAAAGAAAAAAATACCAAGATATTAAGATTAAAGGACAGATAGCACTATGAGACAGAAAAAGATTAAGTGACTCGCTGAGGGCCATGCAAGTAGTAGGGCAGTTAGGTGGTTCCGTGGATAGAATGCCAGGCCTGGAATCAGGAAGACCTGAGTTCAAATCCAGCCTCAGACACTTATTAGCTGTGTGACCCTGGGCAAGTCAATTACATGTTTGCCTCAGTTTCCTCGAGCTGGAGAAGGAAATGGCAAAACACTCCAGTATCTTTGCCAAGAAAATCCCAAATAGGGTCCCAAAGAGTCAGACACCACTGAATGACAACACACCAGTGCCAGGCTCCTTGCCGTGGAAGACTTGGAGTATCTCAAAATGGAAGAACAGATCTCGGATCACAAGAGACAAATTTTTCCAGAGGGAAAACAGAAGTGAAAGGCTGAGCTCAGCTAAGCAAAGCTTAGACTGGCAGCCTCCCAGAGGGAACCTGGGTCACTAAATACCCTGCGAGTTGCACTTCTTTCCATCTTGGGAAGAAAAGAGCTAACCCAAGATCAGGACTGGTCATTAGATTTTTCAGTTACAAATGAATGGAGAGAAAACTCACAGAAGGAGGAAAGTGGCAGGGCTTTCCCCAGACCTGGAGCAGCAGTGGAACATTGACAGAAGAAATGATCGCTGAAATTCCCCTCCTGAAACCAAAGACTCTTGGACTCTCAGAGGTAAAAGCTAAAGAAACAAGCGGCAAGGTACATAAGAGCCTGGGGTGGGGAGGCGGAGGTGGTTGGTTTGTTTTTAACCCCAGGTGCTCACTCAGGTGGCTGCCTGGCCTGACTTCAGCTGGACGCAATTGGCTTCCATTTCCAAGCACATTACTCCTATTCCGTTAAAGACTGAAGGAGATAATCTTATTTCTCACAAATCCCCACGGTTGCATTTCCTCTGTCCCTTTGTTTGTGACTTGAGGACCCACCAGCTCTGGGAGAAAATGACCTTTCCCAGTTTGGGGCCAGGATCCCAATCAATGAGGCCATTTTTAGAGAGCTGTATCTCTTACTAGAAGCATAATCACAAGCCATCCAAGGCTTATAACTATACTTCTAAGAGGAGAATTATGATGAACTTGGGGCCTTTTAAATCTGCTTCATCAGACCACGAGCCAAGAGATGCCCAGAGTTACAAGTCTGCGTCATAAATAATCATCCAGAAAAATAAAGTTAAATATTTACCCCTCCTTCAACATGCTCTGTGATGGCAGCCAGCGATCCTGAGGCACCGGTACTGAGGGAGACGAGTGAGCAAAGGACAGCAATAGAGGTGGTGGGGTCTTTTTTTACTTTTTTTTTTTTAATGTCAGGCTTGATGAAAGCAAGACCCAGAAAAATGAAACACCTGAACATACTCCAAGTTCAGGAACACATGCAGTAAATGCCCTTCTTTAAAAAAGAAACAGGAAGATGGATAAGTCTAAATAGGAGTTGTCCTAGGTGACAGAAAATGTCGACCCGCTTGACCTCAAAGAAATCAACACACTAACAAATGGAACCCACAAATCTGAACATCACACGTCATCACTGACGCCTCTGTTTTTTTCTACACAAGATCTCCATCTCTCTTTCGTAGTCCCAACCCCAGGCACCAATGGGCAAACTGTCCAGAGTGCCAGACCATCCTCGATACACTTCCTTTATATCCCAGTCCTTAGTACAGTGCCTGATGCACAGCAGGCCCTTAATAAAGGCCTGTCAGTCTGTTACTGTCCTTCACTCCTTTGAACCTCTAAGATGTACAGATCAAAGGCAGACACCTAAACGATCCTTCAGTGGCCCTACAAACACTTGCTAAGGATCAAACTATCAGCTCAGATTCTGGTCATTACAACATCCCACATTTCTCTCTGATACCTGGTCCACATAACCATACAATGCCTGGTACCTGCTAGCAAGGAACATCCTTTAATTTTCAAAGACTGTATTTTTTCCTTATAATAATCATTCCCCTGAACTATCAAGGGCAACTTCCTCGCCATCCAAAGACCTTTTCAGGGGGCTCTCATGGTCAAAACTATCTTCATAATAATATTAAGACCTTCTTTACCTATTGAAATACTCCATTTTCCAACTACATATCTACATGAAGCCAGATTTTCTCATATACTTCATCCAAAACAATGTATTGCAACAGAATGAATGCAGAAGCAGAAATGAGAATGTCATCTATTAATCCAAACATTAAAGAGATGTGCCCAACATATGTAAAACGATGCCACTCCTCTCATTAATTTTTTAAGAAGTTATTTTTTATTTCAAATATCACTATGTAATAGGTACAGTATGATGATTTTAAATGAACTAAAACATAATGGTTTAAAATTTACTGGTTTTAATTTGTAATTGTTGATTGCTATAACCCACATAAAGAAAAGTTCTTTGAAGTCCTCTATAATTTTTGAGAGTATAAAGGCAGTTTAATGGCACAGCGGACAGAGGATTGAGCCTGGAGTGAGAAAGACTGGAGTTCAAATCCACCCTTGAGCAATTACTAGCTGCATGACCCTGGGCAAGGTACTTAACCTCTGTCTGCCTCAGCTTTCTCAGCTGTTAAATGGGAATAATAATATCTACTCATGGGAGTGTTGGGAGGATCAAATGAGATATTTTTAAAGTGCTTCCCACTCCAAGTCCAGTACTCTTTACAAGCTGTCATGCTGCTGTGAACTACTACACCTCGATGGGTTAGAAAGAAGTTGTAAAATGTTTGCATTGGAAGGGATGTCAGAGATCAGGCAATCCAACTCTCCCATTTTATAGACAAAGAAGTGGAGGCCTCAAGGCATCAGGTGAATTTGTTCCAGCGACACACACACTGTGAGGTAGAGGTACATACGCAGCCGAGACTAGAACCTGGTCCTCCAGCTTCTCAGTCCTAGCTGTCATGCTGTTTTTCACAAGTTACACAATCAGATTTGTAGGTTCCATGGCAACCAACCATGATCAATATATATCATTAAAAATCTGATCATGACATTTCTAACTGAGTTCTAGAACCATCGAGTGCATAAACTTTCCGTAAAGAAAAAATAAACCCACTATCCGGGGATCTATTTGGGGAAGTTCCAAATACATGTAATCTAAATCAGCTGAAAAGTAAGATGTTGACAAACAATAATTGGTAAATATCTACGCTATTCTGAGAGAAGAACATTTTCCCTGAAACATTTCTTTTCCAAAAAGTAGATCTCTAGTGAAGCACATTGTTGCCTGACCCTCCTAGTTAAAACTGTTACCAAAATGGCAAAGAAACAGTCATGTGACATGTGTGAGTCCATTGTTCAAAGGGCTACTATCAGATGAAGCTATTTGTAAATCAGGTGCAGAATTCTCATGGGGCGAGAATTGCTGAGCACCTTCCTGACAACCAGCTCATACGTTGGCTCTCATAACGGTTAAGGAGGATTCAGAAGTAAGGCCTTGTCTAGAATAAAGTAATAAAAGAATAAAATAAAGAAACAAGATAACAAAATCATGGCTTGGGTGCATAGCTATTTTGGTAGCATTTATACTACCTGTTCAAAGTGGAAGGGGAGTGACAACTTTGAGTTGGATAAGCCACTTTTTAAATTTAACCAATTGAATTAGTTATTATTAGTTACAAATTATTATAAATTATTGGTTAATTTAACTAATTGAATTACTCGATTTCCTAGAAATGCCCTAAAAATTCTGCTTACTATCCAAGAAGAAATAACAAGAGACAAGAACAAACAAAAAACACAGATTCAGAGTATTTTCACTGTTATTTCTCTTTCCCTAGACATTAAATAGAAAATGTTTAGCTGCCTTCAAAGCACAGCCACCTCCTTCCCAGACAAGACCTTTCCTCCTCACTCTCACCCCCAAGCCGTTAGTGATCCCCTTTCTGAAATAACACAACACCACTTTGTATTATGCTGTACAAACACATTAGCATCTGCATTGTTCCCCTTCAGGAGAATGTAAACTCTTGGATGGCAGAAACTGTTTCCTTTCTGTTTTTGTATTCTTAGCACCTCCTAAGGTGCCTCAGCAGATAACAAGAACTTGGGAAATACTTGATGAACTGAAATGAAAGCTTGGGGAAAACACTTGTTGAAGCAAATAAGGAAGTAGAGGTAAAGTAATGAGCCAACTAGGATGCCTTCACTTGCTGGGCAGTGAGGAAGTAGAAACGTGGCTCTCCTCTAAATTAGTAAATACCCACGTTGTTTACCTGCTGTTGGAGGCTAAGGTGATGCAGATGTTCTGCTCAAAGACTGATGGATCACCAAATAGATGCCTTTATCATCTATGTCAGGGATTCTTAACTGTGTGCGTGTGTCTGTATCAGAAATGGACTCCTTGGGCAGTCTGGTGAAACCTATGGAACTCTTCTCAAAACTATGTTTCAAAATGCATAAAATACTTGGGATTACAAAATAAGCAAATTCCATTGAAATAAAAATATTTTTTCTTCCCATCCAAGCTCATTGGGCTGCCTGAAATTTCCCAGTTTAAGAAGCTCTGTTCTATGGAAACAGTGCGCTAGGTGAACAATTTCCTGTTTTCTCCAGCAGCAGAAGAAAAAATAAAAATACCATCAGTCAGTAGCCTAGGACGAACCACCAGGAGATGCTGATCCTTTCCTTTATACCAGTAAAGCTTAGACTATAACCTTAAAACCTCAGCCCACCCCCATCCTTTTGTATATTGAACCATGTTCAATCCAAATAAGACAGTAATTCTATAGGCTGCTAAGAACAGACTATACAGTAACATTAAGGCCTGGTTTTTTACATGAATATTCACTTGTTTTTCTTCATTAAAAAGACTGAGTTGGAATTCTCGAATTTCCTGTGCTCTTCCGCATGAGCGTCATAGGAAATCCTCACGTTCTAGAGATTTCTTTCATTTCACTGCATCTGCTTTTCAAGATCAACAAGTTCGTTTACAAGCTCGACATCTCACGCCCAAAAATACTTACTTGTGGATGAAATAAGAATCCTGGAGAAGGTCTCAAGTATTTCTCTTTTAAAGCTTCAAGTGGGTCAGTGAGCTTTCTCTTCTCTACCCTGTAAGGTTAAAATTACATTCGCTGGTGATGAATCAGTCTCATATATCGATCAGTACATAACCACCTGACATTTAAAAAAGTTTACAATAAAGCAAGTGAGAGATTTCTGGGAAATACACTAATAAAAACATAAAGAGATCTGCTGGGCTCTCCATGCATACACATGGTTCTGATTAGAAAAACAAGATGGCGCAGATCCAAAGGGAGAAGACCCCACTAGTAAAGGAAAAATCTTCCCCACACCATAAAATATGTCCTCATCCTCCTGTCTGTCACACGCTTACCAAGTTAATTACTGACCAATTTCTGGACACTTTGACTTTGATTCCAACACTTCTGCACTGACCTAGCCAGAAGGAAGAGATGATGATAAGAAACTGAAGTCCAGCTACTGAAGGTTACCTGAAAACTAGCCCATCCCTTCTTTGGCTCCAATCATTATCCCTATCTATTATTTTTTAATATCTTCTTAAATGAGAAAGCTGCACATCACAATGGACTGAATTAAACTGATCTCTACCCTTCTTTTCCTTTCCATTTCAAAACTCTCATGCAAGGACGTTCAAAAACAATTTTAAAATTTGCTCCAGATTAGAAAGTAATCTCCTTCAGTACAGGAAATCTGGGGAGGGGTGAGATAATGCTACATGACCCCAGCATATAGCAAAGGGCCCTGAAACTAACAGCAGCATAGTTATTTTTTTCATTGAAAATGTCAACATGTAATAGGTATATTATGATGATTTCAAATGAATAACAAATAATAGTTTGAAATTTATTGGTTTTAATTTTTAATATTGTAAATGTTGATAACTATAACCCATATAAACAAAAGTTTGGAAGGTTGGATTAGTTGACTAAAATGTCAGATCAACACCTGGGCTGGGGCTGGGATATGTGGGGGAAGGTGATGGCTAGAGAATCAGCTAGAGAAGAAACAGTGGTATGTGTGTGGCTGAAGAGGGAAGGTGGGCTGGTGGACTGGAGGTGAAGGTAATAATGGAACTGAGGAACACACTGGAAAGCAGAAGGCTCTTGACATTAAGAGAGGTACAAGCAGCGGAAGACTAAGAAACGTCCCTTCCAAGGCTTCCTCCTGAGAGCCAACCCAAAAATAATGTTGACCCAAAAAATCCAATTTGTAGGGCAAACAATCTATGTCCAGTCCCCAACAATCTTTCCTCTAATGACGGGGCCTTCAAAAGATTTAAGTGAGAGCTATTGAAAAGAACTGAAAACTTATCAAAATTCATCCATTTTTGATTGCTTTCTGATTCTCTCTGATGAGTTTAAAATGGAGTAGCTAATTCTGGGAAATCTCCTTCCTTAATATTCTATAAATAATACTGGTACTTTGTTGGTTAGATTCAAACAATATAACATGTAGAAAAGCATTTCAGTTGATCAAAGCCAAATTATTTGTGTGTATGTGTGTATATGTGTATATATATAAATATGTGTGTATATGTGTATATATTATTCCCAATATTACTGGGGGGATTTTAACCTTATACAGAAAAGGGCACATGTCTCTTCCGCTAGGATTTGTATTTCTGATGTGAAGAACATAAAACCTTCTCTTGATAAACAAGAATCAGCTCACATACATAAATGCTCTGTCTTAAGAGAGCCTAGAAAAACATTCTTTGTAAATTCCACTAATTCTTGAGAGCAAAAATATTCATGCAAAATAAGAGAAATGTGAAGCCTAAGACATATTCTACTCTGAATAGACAAACTGTAGGCCACTATCAGGCTTTTTAAAAAATTCCTACACATAAGATTTGATTTATTAGCCAGAATCTTTTATTAAAAATGAAAAGTTTGGCGATGCAGATGAAAAATTTAGATAATGGATGTTTGTCTCCATCATTTTAATCATAATAAGTGGACCTGGTATTTTTTAAAAATTGGCCATCCATATTATATACAAAAAGTTTTTATGGCTAATATTTCATTTCTGCAGTGCTCCTAGAAGATTTATTTAGAAACAGAGCATGACTAACACTCGTTAATGATGTGAGAGCCAGCTAATAAAGTTCGGATTGGCACTGACATCCACATCACCTTATTTCAAATAACTTGACCCACTGAAGCATTCCCACATATCTGGGTTAATCCTTCAAGGTCCACAACCTTCAGCCACTTGACAAGGTATTTTAAACAGAGTTTTTCTATAAATTCCACTCAGTAAAGTGAGTGCTCAAAAAATGAGATTTACTGTCAAAGAAAAAAAAAAGCCATGGAAGGTATTTCAAATTCTGAACATTTATGCCTTGCCACATCTCAGTGATGGATTATATCAACTTGTGGTACTTTGGTGACCATATGTTGGGTACCAACCGGGAGAGACAGACAGACCGACAGACAGACAGAGACACTGACTGACTGACTGACTTCTTGGAAGGCAGTAAACTTTTTTTCTGGAACATGACTGAGGTTTCACAGGTGCACTATGATTAGCCCATTACCTGTAAATGGGATCCATAAAGAAAGGAGTTGGTCTGGCATGCTGCAAAGAGGCATCCGAAACCTTCCTTTGGTCAATGCCGCCTCCTTTCTTTTCGCCAAAAACATGGTTCTTCCGAGGCTCAGTCGACTTCGTCCCACTAGCTCGGCTCCGACTACCCATGCTCAGGTCCAGGGGCTGATCCTGGCTCGTGAGAGGCGTTGCTGCTGGTTTGGAGGTGGCCGGAGTCACAGATTTCTCCTCCTTCCTTTTGGTGGTGAGGTCAAAGGGAGACTCAGGGCTACCCTTCTGGACTTTCTTCCCATCGCCTGGTGACTGGGGCTCCATTTTCAAAGGCAACGGTCTCAACTCTCTGTCAGGAAATGGGTACATTGACTGAGAGAATGCTGGAAAAAATGGGAGGGGAAACATGGAAGGGTAAGGTAAAGCTCCAACTTTTTTGTCTTGCAGCCCCACCAGTCCTGTGGAACCGAAGTATTTTTCAGCAATAGACGCAATAGCTTTTATAGAATCGTTCACAGCTCCCGACACCGCCGTTTGCTCCTCTAAAGATGGTGAGAAAATGGAATGATTGCTGTATTCTTTCTTATTATTTATTGCAGCCAAACTCTGCAGAGGGCTTACTCTGTCTTTGAACATTTTACCATTTTCTTTAAATTTCTCTTTATCACTTTCAAGGTCACTTTCGAGATCAGAGCCAGAAGTGGTTTCCAGGTCACTGCCACTTGGGGTACTGACATCATCAAGGTCACTACTCTCTGACTGGTCACTGATTTTTTCCAGGGGCCTCTCTTCAGAGGACCTCTCAGGCTGGAGCTCCACTGGCTTATTTTCCCCTACAGGGGGGTGTTTACTTAGTGCCTTCAAAATATCCTGGGTAGCTGGCAGTATCTGAGGATGTGTCATGAGGGGACTTTGACTTTTGTTTCGCTCAGTACTCGGCAGTCCTTTAACAGGAGAGCTAGCAGGTATCAAGGGCGGCCTGTGGTACAAGCCAGAAGGAAACAAACCGGGAAAGTTAAAAGAAAATCCAGGAGCTGTTGGAAAGGTAAGACCAGCAGAATGCCTATTGGCACCAAAATAGTCAGCAAGGCCCGGATTGCCATGGTTCATATTAACCATGGATGTTTTATCCAGAGCTGGGGTCCCAGGAAGTGAAATGCCTTGGCCAAAAAATCCACCTGCTGCAAAATGGTTCTTGCCCTCACAAAACCTCCTGTGCTTATTTAAGGAAGATGTAGTGCTGAACATTTGTCCACAGTCTTTGCACTTGATTTGGGTTCTGCAATCAGCATGCATGCGCTTATGACGACAAAGATTTGAAAACTGGGTATAGGACTTATGGCAGACCTCACCTGCGTACAAACAACAAAAAAACAGTCTCAGGCGGGATGGCAGGCAAGCGGTCGGAGTTTAGTAAATCATCACGATTCCTTTCACCCTCCCCCCAAATGTCTGTCCATCAGGAAGCCAGGAAGGGATGTCTCTCAGTGGGACTGAAGCAGAGAATGCACCAAGCCAGACAAACCTCATTTCCAAAGGGGCCAACACAAGGCCTCCAACCTGACAAATGTCTTAAGACAGCGCATACCAAAAAAAAAAAATTTAATTAAAATTTAAAAATGGAGACACAGAGAGAAAATATCCCTTGGTTGATTCTCATGGTTTGTGTATTTTCAAACGGCTTTTGATTTCCTGGGGAAAGTTTAAAATGTGTCATGCAGTGATTCACCAATGTGACCCCAGTAAGATATCAACAAGGAAACTGCCCAAAACAGAATAGATATGCAACATGAGATGTAGTCATTTAAAAAGAAAAAAAAATCTTGAGTTTTTGGGCTCCCAAACAAAATTAAACCAGTTCCCCTCCCCAATCCCTGTATCATATAATTCACCTTTATTCTTCTATTCCCTTGGGGTAAGAGCCGGTGACTGTGCCAGCCTCACTTACTGTGCATTATATCATCAGCTCTCATCATTCACACATCAAAGCCACACAACAATGCACATTGTGTATTTGGAGACGTTCTTAACAATCATTTTCATGATTTGAGAAAGACTGACATAATTTACAATGGGTCTATTTTAAGTCAGCAAAGGAAGCTCAATTGAATGTAGCCCATCCTGCATCGCTGGTTCCCATGAACCACGATCACGTCCTCTGACTTCCCCTCACACTAGCGCTTGTGTTAACCTTTCTGCTCCTGGAAACCCCTGTCCTTGAGAAACAGGGCCGCAGGCTGTCATATCTCAACCATTTATCTCAGGGCTTGGCTTCTTCAGCTTGCAAGCCAAAAAAAGGCCGAGTGTCTGTCTGAGGGTTTGTGGGGCATGAGAGTTCAGCAAAAAACAGAGGACTGAGCTCCCACTACAGATAAAAGTTTCCTTGGGTCTGTGCTCATGGCTCCGTCTGCCTCGGTCCCCGACTCCATATCCCCGATGAATTCCTTGAAAGTCAGAACACCTCTAACTTCAGTAAGATGCCCACAGACTTGTAAGGTTCACATCCTAAGGGCTCCATTTCTACTTTACACTTCCTCACCTAGTTCTCCCATAGGAAAACCTAATTTGTCAGTAGTTGCTTGAGCAAATTCACTTTAAAACGAAAAAACCCAATAGGGTCCAAATTCATCCATTAATCCTTTGGGGGGTAGCTACATTTGACTGATGACCTATTGAACCAAAGTCATTTTAAAAACTCAAGCATCAGGGCGATTTTTTATAATAATAATTTTTAAAAAATAATTTCCTCTCAAATAAAACTTACACTTTGACTGAAATCAAAGTACTACACACACTCCAAGTAAGAACCATAAAATAACTCTGTCTACTAAATGTCTACACATCTTACCAAGTATAAATAAATGTATTATTAGGCTGAAGAAAAATAATCAGATCATTCAGGTGCCCCTTGGGTACGCTCAAAAGTGAAAGCATTTAAAGAGACAGCTTCATGTGGTGAACAGAGACACAGGTTCAAATTCAGATACTTAGTAGCTGTGTAACCCTGGGCAGATCACTGAACCTGTCCAGGTCTCAGTTTTCTCATCTGTAAAATGAGCAGGATGGACTCAGTGATCTCGAAGGATTTTTCCTACTCTAAATCTTCAGTGAGGTTATCCTATTTGATAGGATAACATATGTACAGCATTTTGCAAACGGAAAGCCCTATATAAAAACTAGTTATTATTATCATTGCTGTTGTGATTGCTATTATTATTATTATCCTCAAATTCCATAAGGATGAATGCCATCAGTAAGTCACCCCAAATTATTCCAACAGCAAACATTACCAAGATTCTGACTTAAATCTTTAAATTACTTAACAAGATTTGCTTCACACTATGAGAACCTTACCACTGAGATGGCTGACATTTGGTAAATACCCTATTTAACATCAGCATTAGACGCACAGCATGTTGTAGTGTCCAAAGATCTGGGTTCCAGTCTTCCTCTGACCCACATTAGCTGTGTGACTCTGGGGAAGAAACCTAACCTTCGAAGCCCCCAACATAAATTTCAGAGGAGCTGCTGATTTTCCTTGGTGAAGGGAGTTTCTGCAGCAGGGATTCCCCTCACTGATGAAGTCATCATTGTAAAAAATCAAGAATTTATTTAATTTAGATTAAGACATGCTACAAAAGATCCCTGGATTTGGCGTCTTGAGGCTCTGGCTGATTATCCATGTGGCCTTCTGCAAATCACATCCTCTCTCCCAGGACTGGTTTCTGCATCTATAAAACAAGGGGCTGGACAAGACAACCTTAGGTCCCTTCCTACTTTAGTCTACAATCCACTGCCCTTGTGCTCTGACACACTTCCTCGCTGCAGGACCATGGTCAATTCCTCATAGCTCTTCTGAATCTCCTCATCTGGGAAACATCTGTCCTGCCTCACACCACTGCCATGAGGAAAGCACCCCTCCACAGCTACAGGGCTGGCCATGGGGCTAGAAAGAGCCTGCCTTTGGGACTGGGAAAATCCGTTTAAAGAGCCACACACCTGGTCCCTTCAGGCATCCTTTTAAGGAGAAACCCACCAGTGGGTAGACCTCCCAGTTAGGAAATTTTTAAAAGTCTGCCATTTTACCAAATGAACTCTTGTTTTCAATGTGGCCTTCCTTCCCAGCAATGTTTTTCCTTAACACTACATAGCTGGAGGGGCTTAGGAAAAGTAATAGCTTCCACATCTTTGGGTCACATCAGGTGCATCTGACTTCTCCATTTGCACCTTATTGCTGCCTGGGTGAGCTACATCTGTCTCTCGCGTCCCAGGACCTCAAGAATGCGTCAAGGGGATGCTTCTCCCCTTGGAGGTTTCCATCCCTTAGGAGACCTTGCCTACCACAAACCACCATGCCTCCATGAGGGCCCTCTATTCTGTAATCTTGGGGGGAATGAGGAATTAGCTTGCAGCTAAAGTTGCATATTTTCTACTTATTAAACAAATTAAGGCCTATTTTGAATAGATCCCGCCTATTATGGCATGTGGTTTCTATTTGGGGAAGCTGGAGCATTTGGGGTAGTCAGCAAGTAATTACCTTCGTGTTGGTGAGTTTTCACTCAAGCTTGGGCGGGACATTGTAATAAGAGACAGTTGCCATAAACAGACCAGTGGGCTCGATCGTGGTGTGTGGCCGTTTGTCGAGAAACAGATATCAACTTTAGGTGACCCTCCTCCACTCTCCAAACCCCCCCAGTCCCAACTCCTGATTTTTCAGTTCTTTTGTTCTGAAATTACACGGCTATTATTCGTAATTATTCTTGGGGCCCTGTCATACTTTGTACTTGGGGACTGCAGTTGCCGGGTAAATTTCCTGGTGATTACTGAGAAGGCATTAATGGGAAACAGTTTATTTGATTTTATTGGAAAAAGACTCCATGCTCTCTAGTGGAAGACTTGATCCCAATAGAACAAGAAGCAGAGCTCTGGGAATCTTAGGCGAATGGAATCACCATGGTCTGACTTTTCTTTGCAACTGATCATTAATAAATGAATTGATGATTCATTGTGTTGAGTTACAGCTTTTCTTTGGCCAAAAAAGTGAAACAGAAATAAATGACCTGCACCAATATTCATATGCAGTCTTAGGGCATTACAACCTAAAGTCAAGAATTTCTTCTTGGTGACAAGGATTCTCAAACACCCATTGTCCAATCTACCCCCCTGCCTTTTAAAAGTCTCCCAAGGGGTAATAAGCATCAGAGGCAGAACCCGAACCCAAATCTGTTCTGCTCCTCAGAAAGCCAGACAAATTTAGAACCAAACAAGATGGTTGGACAATTAAGAAAGAGAAAAGAGATGTCTCTAACCTCTTAGACATAGAAGGGAGAGCGTCTTCAGTGACAAAAGGAGAGTGTGTGGTATAGCAAAAACAAATAAATAAATACTGGCTCTAGAGTGGGAAGATCTGGATTCAAATCCTGACTCTAACCTTGGACAAGTCACTGAAACTCACTGAGTCTTAGTCTCTGTCTTTCAAATAAGGGGTTTGAACCCCACGGGCTCTGAGGTCTCCTCCATCTTTCTTTGGCTCTATGGAAGCAGGCCCTTGGAATCTTTTTTTTTTGCCCCCCTTTTTTTTTTCAACACTCTCTTCATTGTTCCCTTTGCAATGGAGTGTTTTTTGTCTCTTTATCACAGCAGACATCTGACAAACGCTTGTTAAATTGAGCTGAAAGCCTCCATTACAAACTGCCATATGATAAAGACCAAACACTGAGGCCTTGGCAGAAGTAATCTCCTGGCTCGTCACCTAAAGGATGATTCCATGTAATAACTACATTTCAAAAGCATCCAGGTACATTTGGGTCAGAAAATAGTATCAGTCTGACCACTCCCAGCCAATACACAGCTAAGACTTACCTTCTGGCCACATACTTGGGCAGAGCTGCTACAGCATGGGTGACCAGGAAACAACCGAGTTTCTTGTTTTCCCAACGCTTACCATGGTGCCTGGCGGGTAGTGGACATTTGCTGACTGACTGACTGCATTTCAACACCGGGACGGTAAGTACGTTGGGGATAGGCGGAAATGAACACGCCATTTCCCCCAACAGAACGGAAGTCCTCTGAGGGCAGAGACTGTTGCGTTTTGCCCGTTCATGCCCAATGCCCATTTTACCAAACAAAGTCCGGTTTTCCACGTGGCACATAGTAAGCACTTGATAAAAGCTTGTACATTGACTGACACTACCTAATAAACTAGAAATAAACCAACGGGAGAAAACGGCTTCAACCTTCCTTGAAGCACCGCTCAAAAGGTATTTAGGAAAGAGAGGACAGCCCAGGTCCAAATGCTGCCTCTGAAGCTTATTACCCTGTATGGCCCTGAGTAAGTCACAACCTCCTGGGGCCTCAATTTCATTTTCTAAATGGAAATTTCTAAAACCCTCTAAAATAGGACGGTCAAATCATCTAGCTTTTAGAGTCCTTTCCACCTCTATATCTCTGATCCTATGACCTTGAAACTAAAAGAAGGTGATCGGAGCCAGAGATTTCAAGGATGTTATATGCTAATAGAGTGTGACTTCCATGAATTCTTCCTGCTAAAGCAGCCTTTTTTGGGGGGGTAAGTGGTATAATCTCTGCATCCCAATGAACACTTGCATATTTTTTGAAGAACCCCAGAATCTGACTCTAAATTTTTAAATAGGCAGAGGTGGCTAGACTGTCAGGTTTAAGGAATTCTCTTAAAAGGAAAATAAGAAAGATGCCTGTTCACCACATCATCTCAACTCAGTTCACAAGATCTTTTCTATTTATTGTTTTCCAAAACGAGGAAGATTTACAATCTGAGCTCCATTTGGCTGGCTGGCTCTGATCCGAATCCCTCTGAGGCCTGCCTTCTTTATTACAGAAACACTTCTATTCTTCCCCCGGTTGTCTACATGCTCCCTCATGCTACTGATTTCATTGGAAAGAAGGGTCTCTGGGGGATTTCAAGGGAACACAGAAAACAAATCTGAGTGAGGAAAGAACTGCTACACACACACACACACACACACACACACACACACACACACACACACTCACACCAGTCAGCCTAGGCAGTTACAGAAAGTACCCATCCTTCAGAAGTGCTCTACCCCATGACAATGGCCTTGGGAGAACAGACAGACCCATTGAGAGGAGTGGGCAAGGGGAGGGAAGAACTTACAGATGAAGGGCTTCACACTGCTGTGGATGTGCTTGTGTTGTTTGAGGCCGGACGACGTGGCAAATGTTTTGCCACACTCAGGGCATGCGTGGGCCCGGGCTCCGACATGCTGGGAGCGAATGTGCCTCTGTAGGTTGCTAGGGTCCGTGAAAACCTGCTAGGAAATGAGTACTGATTAATCAAGAAATTTAAGTCAAATACAGAGCCAAGGGGACCAGAAAGAATACAGTGGAGGGTGTTCCAACTGACTGTTAGCATCTTCCCTCCATTCCACCCTCCTCCCACCAAGACCCAAAAGACAGTAAGTAGGCTTGCATGAGCCCACCACCATCTCCCTCAGTTCTTTTTAGAGGTTCTAGGGATGAACACCAGTGTCTGCTTTCCCCAGGTCCACACTGCATCTAACGGGTGTGGGATTCCCTTTGGTCAACACTCCCACATTACACAGGAGAGCCTCAGCACTTTGACCAAATGGCCTCAAACCCATCTAAAAGGCAGCTCTCTCAGAGAGTTTAAATGACCAGAAGTGACCTTGTGGGAAAGAGCATGGCACAGCATAAAGAAAACTGGTCTGAACCTGGTTCTGCCTGTGTGACTTTGAACATGTCACTTAAACTCTTCAGGACCCAGGCTGGTCATGTCTATAATGAGGAGGGACTAGAAAAGATCTGCTTTTTTTTTTTTAAAGTTTTAGCAAGTCATAGACCCCTTGGGAAGTCTGGTAAAGCCTACAGACCTCCTTCTCAGAATCATGTTTTCAAAATGCATGAAATGAAACACACAGGATTACAGAGGAAACCAATTCTAAGAAATGCAATTATCAAAATAATTTAAAAACCAAGACCTCAGATTAAGAAGCCTTAGACTAGACGGACTTCCGAGGGTCTCTGAGCCAATGCATTGCCTAAGAACTACATTCTTTCCCTGGGTACACGGGCAGACCTTCTTCAGAACTAAAGGAGAATGCTCTCTCTCCACGTGAGGTCACAGTCTCTTTCAAGACAAGGCCAGAGGCAAACATTTACACGGACTCAAAATGTTCTGAAGTCCCTTTGGGAAGTGGAATACAGATATCCCCTCATCTCCTGAACCCCTCCAGGGTCCCGTCCATCTCCAGAGACACATCCTTTCGATGCCTGGTGTTTTTTATTCACGAGGGAAAAAATGGAAAAATAACAATTGCTGTTATCTCTGACTTCCTCAGCTCCAGATATTTCCATAAGTGCCTAAGCCACCGGACACTTCCGTAACTCAAGGACTGTTTTTCATTTTGCTTTTGAGAGAACGGAGGAGATCTGACGGATTTTGTACAGAATCCTCCTTGCGATTTGGGGGAACCTCCTTCCCTTGCAGACGCTCTGTGTTTGAGCCAAACTGGCCTGTTCAGGATTCCACCTGCCACCTCTGTAGAACGTATGCCATCCCTGTACTGAGAATCCCGAGCCTTCCTCAAGAATTGGATCAATGGAATCTCTTCCTGCTCCACTTACTAAAGCACTTTCCCTCCCACCTCAAACTATCCTATTAGTATTTATCTATTTAGATGCTCCTTCCCACTCCCCACCCTTGCCTTCATCCCCCAGTAAAAAGCCAGGCCTATGATAGCGCAGACAGTTTTCATTTTTGTCTCTGCATTCTTAACACTGAGCACGGTGCCTTACATTTATACACATTTAATCAGCAAAAGCTTATTGGATTGGTCTCCTAGGCCAGTGGCCAAATCACATCCAATCATGCAGGAACCTGCACGGAAAATGTTCTTAAGAGTCATTTCCAGTATTACAGAACTTGTTAACTTCTGCACAAGTTGCTAATGTTAAAAGTTACAAATAAAAATAATAATAATAATAATAATAATAATAATAATAATAATAATAATAATAATAATAATAATAATACCATTTATTATGAACACAGTGCTTTGCATATGCTATCTTATCTGAGCTTCACAATGATCCTGGGAGATAGGTGTTATCATTACTCCCATTTTTCAGATAAGGAAACTGAGGCAGACAGAGGTTAAATAACCCACCCAGGGTCACACAGCTGGTAAGTATATTGAAGAAGTATCTGAACTCATGTCTTCCCAATTCCAAGTCTGATACTCCAGTCACTGCATGTCTAATACATGCATATATTATAATAAATGCTACTACAGCCACATAATATATATAACTTGTATATATATATACTGTTGTTTAATATACATATATTAACTGATATTTAATATGCATATATATTACATAATTGTTGTCTAATGTGTGCAGCATGTATTCTATAATTGCCCATTTCTGTTTCTATGGATATACTCTGTATGTAATGTATGCATACTACACATATAATATATCCTATATACATAACTTCTAGCATAGAATATATAGTAATAGAAACTCTATGTATAATGTGTTTATATATAAATGCATACTATTTTTCAGAAGGAAGTCTAGACAGAACAATGGACAAAGTACTGGATTTGAAGTCACAAAGATCTGAGTTCCAATTCTACTTCAGACACTTACTAGCAGAGTGACCCTGAGCAAGCCCCTGAACTGCCCTCTGCCTCAGTTTCCTCAACTGGGACAATAATAGCATCTACCTTATAGGGTTTTTGTGAGGATGTGTTAAATAATACTTTGTAAACTTTACAATGCTATGTAAATGTCAGGCTGTTATTGTCGCTGTCATATATGCATGCATTATATGTCAAACAATAACCAATTATTAAGCACTTATGCATCAGGCGAAATAAATGTGTATAAATTCACATATGTATATGTGTGTGTCTATATATGTGTACATACATACATACTGACATATATGAGTATTTTATGCATACATATAACTCTTCATGACCCCATTTGGGATTTTCTTGGCAAATATAGTGGAGTGGTTTGCCATTTGCTTCTGTAGCTCATTTTACAGATAAGGAAACTGAGGCAAACAGGGTTAAGTGACTTACCCAAGATCACACAGCTAGTAAGTGTCAGAGGCCAGATTTGAACTCAGGGAAATGAGTCTTTCCACCTGGATGCCTTTATCAATGAACACATTGACATAGTGCCTGCATATACAGTGTATACTAATTGTGGGTACTAAGCTAGGTTTGGAAAACCCATGGACAAAATGAAAAACAGTTCTTGCCCTCAAGAAGCTTATATTCTCCTGAGAGGAAGCAGTACATAGATAGAGGAAGACTGTGTGTGTGTGTGGGTATACGTGTGTGCATGCATACATGTGTCTGTAGGTACACTTGATGCAGAGTCATGCAGAGTGAGCCAGATGTCCACAACACGTAATTCCATAAAATAGTCCCACGCCGTGAAGTCAGCAGGGGAGTCAGGAACCTCCCCAGGACGTGTGATGCCTTGTCCTGGGGCTCCCCAAAGAGACCTGCCTTCCTCCCTCACACAAATAAAAGGATACCCACTACGTGTTTTTCTTCCCTATACTAATGCCTCTTAGCATCCCACACTCTGTCTTCCTTTTCTGAGGTATTTATCGTTTCTCCACTCAGGGCCTGTTTTTACACAGCACAGCAAGTGACGGATGGAGCAGGATTACAGACAGGGACCGAAGAGCCTACAAATTCACGGTACCTTGGCACAATTCTCACATTCATAGTGCTTTCCGCTATCATGTGACATCTGGTGGCGAATTAAGTTGGACTTCCAGTTAAAAGCCTTGGGACACTGATCACACTTGTATTCTCTCTCTTCCGTATGTGACAACATGTGTTTCTCCAGGCTGTTAAGACAAAAATTGATTTGAATAACAGACTGTGCAAAAGAAAAAAAAAATCACACACTACAAATCAGCAGTCAATTGATTCAACTGATCTTGCTTAAAAAATAAGATAAGGAGGCAACATGGGGACATGAGGGGCCAGTGCTCAAAAGAGTCAAGCTGGAAACAAATGCAGAGATATGCATCTCGCATGACTGATACAGTAAAGTACTATCCTTGGTTCCTTCCACCATTGGGTCATCTGCCAACCTAGGGGCACAGCAGACAATCAGCTCCTTGTTCTGGGTCTCCTTCCTGTGCGAGATTCTGACAGGAGCACGTGCTGCTAAGACTCACTTAATTCAACTACAAACACTCAAACAGAGGAAACTTAAGAACATGTAATGAGGCACTCGGTCATTAATGTGTGTCTGTCTTTGGGGGAAGAAAGGCCTTTTGTTTCCACCCTTATCACCATATGGGAAACTAAGTTGGCAGCGAAAAGGCAACTTCCCAAAATGACCCTGGAAAGAAAGGAAAATATGAGCTGAGATGAATTGACACATTAGGGACGAGAAAGAAGAAAAGTGTGGGACAGTCTTTACACGAATGAGATCTCAGATTCCCAACTAAGGGGACAGATGCATGAGCAGGAGCTTCTCAGAGGAGGCCCTCTCTGTGTTTTAACACTAGGGATGATTCTCGACGTAATTTATGGCCAACGTGCAGTCAGTCAGAAATACAAACAAGAGGCGTCAGCCAGTTTAGTGTGAGGTTTTCCAAGGTCGGCAGATGAACTGGCCCATGTTGGAATGAACTTTCTTTCCTTCTTCATAGCCATGTGAGTTCCAATCTCTCCAATGAATGTTAATTTGAAAGTGTTGTGTATCTATGATATATAATCCTTTCTACAACATGCAGTGTCCACTTAGGCACAGAAAGCATGAAATTAGCATGGATGAGGAAGGGATGCTAGAACACCAGCCATCAAAAAGTCCATCACCCATAAGCACCATTGTACCAATATTTGTTCAGGGTGGCTTTCGTCAACAGATATGACAACTGTGTTCCACAACACCATGCTTTGAAAGAAGACTTGCATAGCCCACTCAAATTTCACTGGCTTTGGACTTAAATAATGGCTCTGCCAATTACAAAGGCAGCTGGGCATAGCTGGACTTGACATCAAGATGGCGCAGTGCATAGATCACTGACCTGGATTCAGGAAAACCCGAGTTCAAATTCAACCTCAGATACTAATAACTACGTGACCTTAGGATTCACTTCTAAACTGGAGATAATAATA